CATTTTATAGTCATGTGCCGGCCAATATTAACTTCTGGTTGAAAATATAGTCATTTAATTCAATTTCAGGAAACTAAAATGAACAACAACAAAACAGGATTACGAGCAAACATTTGTTAAAATGATCCAGAGTTGTAATAAGTTACATTACATGTGGAGTTGTCCAGACCTCACACCTTCCTCTCTCTCTCCAGGAGAGTATCAGCATCCTGAGATGGGACCCCACGGGTCACCTCCTCCTCTCCACGGGCCGCTCTGAGGTGGTGAAGATCTGGGGGCGGGCGGGGGGCATCTGGATCACCCTCCACTCCCTGTTCCATAAGGGCATCGTCAACACAGCTGAGTGGTGCCCGCTGCCAGGCAGAGGACCTGAACCACGACTCATGATGGCTGTGCGAGTACAGGTGACTAGTGGGAACCTGGGTCATATTCATTAGGTACCATGAGTGAAAATGTGCTTTTTCTAAATGAAATTCGCTGAATACAAAACTAAATAGGGACTAAATACAGTATATATTTATTTTTACAAAGCTAACAGACTGAATTAAAATATTCACCTTCTGTGAAGACCATCTGTTCCTGTTTTCATTGTGTATTTCTGAGTCTTTCCCTTTAAATCGCCATAGAAATGCCCCCTCTCAAAGTAGATTGATTGCCAATATAGGCAATGAAACCAAGGATCTGGAAGTGAAATGACAAAGTTTTCCAGTTGATTTTGATTGGTCCAACCAGCGGAAACACCTACAAGTGGTACCACCTCACAACACCAAATATGGAAGAGATACAACCAAGAGAGGTGCAGTCTAAACTAGCAATGGTCACAGCAAATGAATGTTCTTATTTCATCAACACTGTCAAGTACAAGTCTATTAAGGCTGTAATATTGTAGAGAACAATTAATTATATGTAATTTATAATGACATAGGACAAAGAAAACTACGTTTTGACATTAATTTCATGGCACCCTCTCTACATTGTACAGCAATGAGTGTTCACCCTATATGCTGTTGCAAAACATTTTAAAATGTTTTCTGTTGCATGCCCTAATAATCAACATGACCCTGGCTGCTCATTTTTACATTGTGTTATTTTTGTTGTTGTTTTGTCTTTTTTATTAATAACTGTCTATTTCATTTTCAGGGGGGAGCCAGAATGGTCTTCTGAATGTGTGGACGCTACAAGACGGGGGCACTATTGTGTCAGTTCCTAATTTCCTTGGCAGCTCATCCAGTCAAGAGAAGAACAGTGGGATCAAGGTCAGTACAGTCAGTGTCTTCTTGTCTAGCGGTTAGTTTTGACAGAGATAAGCAGCTTTGTTTATGTCTTCTTTATTCCCCGACTTCCTCTGAGACCTAGATGGAAATAAAGAAGAATACTGTAATTTCCTGTGTGGAGGACAGAAATTCTTATAACTACTGTATAATTTTCAGTTCATTGCCTGTGAGTCTTTTATTCACTGTGCTACTCTGTACTGTGTTCGCCTCCCTAGCGTGGCAGTGCCAAATGCATGTTCAGACTAAGTGGTAACATCACAGCAGTGAAGACACTGTCGTTCTGCCCCAGTGGTCAAGCCCTGGTGTCTGGAGGGATAGGAGGACTACTCAACATCTGGTCTCTAAAGGTGAGAGTTGTAGCATTATGGACTACAGTACCCAGAATGCACTGTGTAGCATATCTTGTTTTATCTTGGTAAAGATGATCTTGAAGCTAACAATAATGTCCAATCTCCTTATCAATACAGAAATTAATCAATTGAATTTATTTTATAAATCCCTTTTTACATCAACAGTTGTCATAAAGTGCTTATACAGATACCCAGCCTAATATCCCAAAGAGCAGGTAGCTAGTCCCCTGTAGCTCAGTTGGTAGAGCATGGCGCTTGCAACGCCAGGGTTGTGGGTTCGTTTCCCACGGGGGGCCAGTATGAAAATGTATGCATTCACTAACTGTAAGTCACTCTGGATAAGAGTGTCTGCTAAATGATTAAAATGTAATGCAGCCACTCTGTCTGAGTTAGATAATCAGTGATCTGTGTGTGTTCTAATCTATCTTTAATCATCCCTCCTGCAGGATGGTTAGATCCTACAGACAGTGGTGATAGGCCTGGCTCTGTGGTCAGTACCACCTGGATACCAAATTTGGGGGTGGCCGCCTGCTGAGGCCATCGCCAAGGCAACAGCCTTCCCAGAATCCATCACTTTTCCAGAGTTCCAGCAGGCAGGAGTCACAGAGATCACCAAGCCCCTGGTGAGTAGAGAGCATAGCCATACTGTAGCTTCCTCAGGCTGGGAGTGTGTCTGAAATGGCACCCTATTCCCTATTATTGTGTACTACATAGGGAATAGACCACCTGGGAGTATGTGGGGTTGGGATATCTGAGAAACGAGCTAGCTACCAACTAAAATGTTTTAACAAATGCGATTATGAAATTCATTTCCTAACTTTTAGTATTATTTGTTCAAATTTTCATTTACATTTATGTCATTTAGCAGACGCTCTTATCCAGAGCGACTTACAAATTGGTGCATTCACCTTATAGCCAGTGGGATAACCACTTTACAATATTTATTATTATTTTATTTTTTGGGGGGTGGGGTAAGGGGGGGTACAAAGATTACTTTATCCTATCCCAGGTATTCCTTAAAGAGGTGGGGTTTCAAGTGTCTCCGGAAGGTGATGAGTGACTCCGCTGTCCTGGCGTCGTGAGGGAGCTTGTTCCACCATTGGGGTGCCAGAGCAGCGAACAGTTTTGACTGGGCTGAGCGGGAACTGTGCTTCCGCAGAGGTAGGGGGGCCAGCAGGCCAGAGGTGGATGAACGCAATGCCCTCGTTTGGGTGTAGGGACTGATGAGAGCCTGAAGGCACGAAGGTGCCGTTCCCCTCACAGCTCCGTAGGCAAGCACCATGGTCTTGTAGCAGATGCAAGCTTCAACTGGAAGCCAGTGGAGTGTGCGGAGGAGCGGGGTGACGTGAGAGAACTTGGGAAGGTTGAACACCAGACGGGCTGCGGCATTCTGGATGAGTTGTAGGGGTTTAATGGCACAGGCAGGGAGCCCAGCCAACAGCGAGTTGCAGTAATCCAGACGGGAGATGACAAGTGCCTGGATTAGGACCTGTGCCGCTTCCTGTGTAAGGCAGGGTCGTACTCTCCGAATGTTGTAGAGCATGAACCTACAGGATCGGGTCACCGCCTTGATGTTAGCGGAGAACGACAGGGTGTTGTCCAGGATCACGCCAAGGCTCTTTGCACTCTGGGAGGAGGACACAACGGAGTTGTCAACCGTGATGGCGAGATCATGGAATGGGCAGTCCTTCCCCGGGAGGAAGAGCAGCTCCGTCTTGCCGAGGTTTTCATACATTGTCTGTGATGGATGTCAGTATGTTGAGGCACTCTCCCTCTTCTCTTCCTCAGGATAACAGTAAGTGGAGCTTCATGATGGACGAGCAGCTCATGTCCTGGGCCACCACCAGACTGGAGGTAAAATTTCTGTCTCCAATACCATACATGCATCCCAAATGGTACCCTATTCCCTATACAGTGCATAGAGCTCTGGTCAAAATAGTGCATTATATAGGTCAGGGGTCGCCAACCCTGTTACCGGAGAGCTACTCTCCTGTAGGTTTTCGCTTCAACCCCAGTTGTAGTGAACCTGGTTCAGTTTATCAACCAGCTAATTATTAGAATCAGGTGTGGGAAATTAGGGTTGGAGTGTGAACCTACAGGACGGTAGCTCTCCAGGAACAGGCTTGGCGAGCCCTGATGTAGAGAAACGGGTGCCATTTTGGAGGTAAGATTTCTGCCTGTAAAACCATATCGACTATTCTCCTTATGTCATTACTGTATCACTTTACATACCCATTGCCCAGCCCTGCCATGGGAATACAAGCCCTAGTCTAGGCCAGCTACATGGCACAGCTCCATCACTTGCCAGTAGCTATGCCCATTGTTCAGTATCATAAATCAGGTGACTTGAGGTCCTTTTCCAAGTAGCATTCAAAATACCTCACGTAATGATTGGCTGTTTCCATAAAGATTTTCCGTATCCAATTATTACTTGTTTTGAAGGTGTCGATAATGCTGTCTTGCCAATGCCAACTCCTACAGTCATTGTTGGCAAGACAGCAGAAAGAGTTCTTAAACCAGGCTTTTGATAAGCTACTCTAACATGTTTTTACTGTATTTAACAGGACTGGCAGCAGGGAGAGAAGAGTGAGGTGTTCCTGTGGGGCAACGGGCGTCACGGGCAGCTGGCAGACGCAGGGACTATCCTTATGCAACCCACCATCGCCCCTTCTCTGTCACAGACACAACAGGTACAGTAACAGTAATACCCATGCCATCCCCCAGACTCTGCTCATAACCTGCTATATACAGTGCCTAGGCTCATTCTCAATTGTGAAAAAATCAGTCCTCACCTTGTCACTGCCCTTCATCTGCTCTGATTGGAAAAGACTTCACTGGTGAAAAATGATGTTGGAATCTCATCAATAGACTGGCTTACCCAAGCCTCTATCAGTGTCCACCAGTTTATGTTGTTGCAATGTGTGTTGACAACCCAACTCCATTTCTTCTCAGGTTGTGTGTGGGCAGGACTGTTGTTCCTGGTGCAGGCTAACGGTACGGTGCTGGCTGTAGGAGAGGGCAGCTACGGGAGACTGGGCCAGGGCAACTCTGACGACCTCTATGCCCCTACCGTCATCTCAGCCTTACAAGGTAACAACATTTCAGGCCTCCATTGTCAAATAGCTCTTTTAATGGGACAGCTTGGTTAAATAAAGGTTAAATTAAAACGATCTTCACAATATGTTTTTAAAAGTTGATATGTTTAAAGCGAACATAGTTTTTACTAATAAATAAAATACTTTGGACATTCAATTCAGTTGTAATATTGATCTTGTTTGATGCTCTCTGTAGTTCGATTGTCCTGTCGTCACCCTGGTTGGTTGAACTCTGACCCCTGACGCAGCTGGTGACCTCCTGCGGGTCTGACGGCCATTCTATGGCCCTGACGGAGATGGGTGAGGTGTTTAGCTGGGGCGATGGGGACTATGGGAAGCTGGGCCACGGGAACAGTGAGAGACAGAGACGGCCCAAACAGGAAGAGGCTCTGCAGGTAGAGGAAGTGGTGCAGGTAGGATGGGGATGGAGCTGGAGCTCACCTGATGGGTCACTGACATTACAGAAATACAGTACTTTGTCTTATGTCTTGGTGACATTTATCCTGTATAGTCTTTCTCCTCCTAAAATTCTGTCCCATTACTGTGAAGTTAAAGGTGTCTCTAACTGATAGTACATAAATTCTCATTGGCTACGTTCCAAAATCCCCACTAGCATACCACTTACTGTATTGCATGGCCAATATACACTAAGTGTACAAAACATTAAGAACACCTGGTCTTTCCGTGACATAGACTGACCAGGTGAATCCAGGTGAAAGCTATGATTCCTTATTGATGTCACCTGTTAAATCCACTTCAATCAGTGTAGATGAAGGAGACAGATTAAATAACGATTTTAAGCATTGAGACAATTGAGACATGGATGAAAGGGCAAAACTAAATATTTTAGTGCCTTTGAACGGGGTATGCAATTCTTCTGGGTTTTTCACGCTCAACAGTTTGCCATGTGTGTCAAGAATGGTCCACCACTCAAAGGACATTTAGCCAACTTGACACAACTGTGGGAAGCATTGGAGTCAACATGGGGCAGGATCCCTGTGGAACGCTTTCGACACCTTGTAGAGTCCATGCCCTGATGAGGGGGGGGGGATTGTCATATTGGAACAGAGCCATTGTCTTATGTATTGGTTACATTATTCCTGAATCTCACTCTCCCTAATGTCATTACTGTGAAGATGCTGCCAGAGAGAGTCGTAGCACTGGAGGGAAATCACATTGGACAGGTAAGAGCCATCACATTGACATTAGTAAGAGATGACGGTAATAGGGCACCTGGCCTATCCACACAGGGTTCTTGGGAAGACTCATAAGAACATATGCCCAATGATTGGTCATACCTGAGGCAGTACTTCAGGCAGAGTAAAATTGATTAGGGCTACAGTAACCCTAAACGTTTGAGAACTTTAGATGGTTGAAAGTCATACAAATCAGTGAATTTTGACCAATTTGTGGCATTATGTGTTGATGTACTTTCTTCCCTTTTTCCTAGGTGTCCTGTGGTATCAATCACCTTCTGGTGCTGTCTTCTGATGGCATGAGTGTCTGGGCTTTTGGTGACGGGGACTATGGGCAGTTGGGTACAGGTCCCTGCACTGTCAAGTGCTACCCTCAGGTACAGTGCTGCTCCTATCATATTAAAACATAATTATGTATTACGTTGTTAGTTGCATTATCAGTTAAATTACACAATTATTTGTTAAATGTTTTTCTATTGAAGTAGTCATGCTTCATCTTTTTTTTTTACTTTGCAGAAAGTGGAGCAACTGTACAACAAGGGAATAAAGAAGGTTGGCTGTGGGACCCAGTTTTCTGTTGTCTTGGCCAAAGATGGACATGTTTACACCTTTGGACAAGGTCATTTGGGTATTTTATGTATTGATTTAAATAAATTGTATAAAACAGCACAGCTACAGATCAACAGTTCACTATTATACAAACTTAACTTTTAAATGTACCATGTTACAAATAGATTTTGTAATGCTGAGCTAGTCCAATAGTTTTTACCAACTTCATATAATCATTCAGTATAAAATACCTATTTCAAGCTGTCTCATCTTATACCCCTCTCCCCCCTCAGAGCGGTTGATCGGGCTGCCAGACTCTCTGTTGAAGAACCACAACCATCCCCAGGTGGTGCCAGCCCTGGAGGGAGTGTTTGTTGAGGACATCGCTGTGGGCTGTGAGCACGTCACTTTACCCCTACCTACAGTATATGTACATATCTACCTCAATTACCTGGTATCCCTGCACATCGACTCGATACTGGTGCCCCTGTGTATTTATTTCTCATGTTATTATTTTTCTATTATTTTTCTATTTTTCTCTCTGCACTGTTGGGTATGCATTTCACTGTTAAAATCAAATCAAATCATATCAAATTTTATTGGTCACATACACGTGTTTAGCAGATGTTATTGCGGGTGTAGCAAAATGCTTGTGCTTCTAGCTCCGACAGTGCAGTGATATTTAACAAGTACTATCTAACAGTTTCACAACATATACCCAATACACACAAATCTAAGTAAGGAATTAAGAATATATACATAAATACATATATGGACGAGCGATGTCAGAGCGGCATGGACTAAGATACAGTAGAATAGTATAGAATACAGTATATACATATGAGATGAGTAATGCAAGATATGTAAACATTATTAAAGTTGCTAGTGTTCCATTTCTTAAAGTGGCCAGTGATTTCTAGTCTATGTCTATAGGCAGCAGCCACTAATGTGCTAGTGATGGCTGTTTAACAGTCTGTTGGCCTTGAGATAGAAGCTGCTTTTCTTTCTCTCGGTCCCAGCTTTGATGCACCTGCACTGACCTTGCCTTCTGGATGATAGCGGGGTGAACAGGCAGTGGCTCGGGTGGTTGATGTCCTTGATGGTCTTTTTGGCCTTCCTGTGACATCGGGTTCTGTAGGTGTCATGGAGGGCGGGTAGTTTGCCCCCGGTAATGCGTTGGGCAGACCGCACCACCCTCTGGAGAGCCTTGCGGTTGCGGGCGGTGAAGTTGCCGTACCAGGCGGTGATACAGCTCGACAGGATGCTCTCAATTGTGCATACGTAAAAGTTTGTGAAGGTTTTAGGTTCCAAGCCACATTTATTTAGCCTCCTGAGGTTGAAGAGGCTCTGTCGCGCCTTCTTCACCACACTGTATGTGTGGGTGGTCCATTTCAGTTTGTCACCTCCTCCTGTTAGTCTACAGTACACCTGTTGTTTATGATGCATGCAACAAATATAATTTTATTTGATTTAATACTACTATGCCATAGTTTGTGTTTTTTGGACAAAAGTCCTGTGAAGTTGGTCTACATAGAGCACCTCTAATTGAGTTTGTGTGTTTTGGTGTATTCCAGCTTGGCCTGGGCCACTCTAGCCCAGTAAAGGAGCCCACCCTGGTGACAGCCCTACAGGGGAAGAACATTAGACAGATCTCTGCTGGTCGCTGCCACAGCTGAGCCTGGACCACACCCTCACCCTCCGCCAAAGCCTCAGGTACACACACACACACACACACACACACACACACACACACACACACACACACACACACACACACACACACACTGCTCTGCACAACTCTGAAACGTATCGCTTTACACATGTTCATCAACGTTTGTCTCTTCTGAATCCTCTAGGTGCCTCTGCTAGCCTCCAGCTGGGTCTACCCCAGTCTGTTCCTCCCCAGTACAACGCTCTGAAAGACTGCAGCCCTGACATCCTCAACACTCGCCTCAGAGTGCTCTACCACTTCTCTGACCTCATGTTCAAGACTTGGAGGCTGCTCAACCTCGACCCCAGGAACCAGGTAATGAACAAGAACCTGTGCTCTGTTTATCTTGTCAACCTCACATCATCTCTGATTGATCTCCTGTTGGGAATGAGTTACAGTCTTGCCTTTACATCCCATGTCTTACCCATTACACACACACACACACACACACACACACACACACACACACACACACACACACTCTATGTCCTTCATTGAAGCTGAAAAGTACTCTGTTCTGACATCAGTATCTCAGGAGATGGTATCCACAATGTCTCCTGTAGTGGGAAATACACTAGCCCCATGTCCCAGGACTGTCTGCTGTCTTTATCTCTCTGTTTGATTTATTTGATTTATTTCCTCTGTAAAGTACATTAACATCTTGTGATAATGCTTATTAAATACAGTTTGACCTGATTTGACATGACGTTTCCTCTCTCCTCTCCCCTCCTGGTGTCTGCGTCTTGCTACAGCTCAGGGACAGCAGCCATCGTGCAGGGCCAGCTGAGGGGCCTCCTGTCCCCTAAGGTCAACACTCTGCCCCTGGTCAGATCCATAGGGAGGACCATGACCCAGGGTAAGACCTACGGTCCCCAAATCACTGTCAAGAGGATATCCACCAGGTAATGAAGCCTTTACAGACGCACGTCCATTGTCTCTGAGCAGGTGCTGGATATCAATAAAAGGTGAAAAGAGAAAAGAGTACACTGCATTCTATGCACTCATGTAATAGATTTATTGGACAACGTCTTCATCAGATCTTGTTAACGTATTTTTTAGGTAAAGCCTTTACAGAAAATATACAGTGCCTTTGGAAAGTATTCAGACCCCTTGATTTTTTTCACATTTTGTTAAGTTACAGCTTATTCTAAAATTGATTAAATCCAGCAAAGCACCCCTACACCATATCACCTCCTCCTCCATGCTTTATGGTGGGAAATACACATGCAGAGATCATCCGTTCACCCACACCGCGTCTCACAAAGACACGGCGGTTGGAACCAAAAATCTCAAATTTGGACTGCAGACCAAAGGACACATTTCCACCGGTCTAATGTCCATTGCTCGTGTTTCTTGGCCCAAGCAAGTCTCTTCTTATTATTGGTGTCCTTTAGTAGTGGTTTCTTTGCAGCAATTGAACCACGCAGTCTCCTTTGAACAGTTGATGTTGAGATGTGTCTGTTACTTGAACGCTGTGAAGCATTTATTTGGGCTGCAATTTCTGAGGCTGGTAACTCTAATGAACTCATCCTCTGCAGCAGAGGTAACTCTGGGTTTCCCACTACTGTGGCGGTTCTCATGAGAGCCAGTTTCATCAAAGCGCTTGATGGTTTTTGCAAATGCACTTGAAGAAACTTTCAAAGTTCTTGACATTTTCCGGATTGAAAATCTTCATCTTAAAGTAATGATGGACTGTCATTTCTCTTTACTTATTTGAGCTGTTCTAGCCATAATATGGACTTGGTCTTTTACCAAATTGGGCTATCTTCTGTTTACCATCCCTACCTTGTCACAACACAACTGATTTGCTCAAACGCATTAAGAAGGCCCTCCGCCCCATAGAGCGGCTTCGCTCCTTTTGGTTTACTCCGCTGCCTAGGTTTCACAGTGTTGTCTATTATGAGCAAGAAGCCACCTCCAAAGGCTCTTTTAAGAGCTCAGTGCTGCTGTTCCTCTCTCTCTGCGGCTGTCAAGTCACACAACCTGTGTTTCGTCTGCTTGGGCCAACAGCCCGCCAGGAACGGCATCCAGGACCCCCCAGCTATGCTCTGCTCTCTTCCAAGGTGCCGCGGGAACGCAAGGCGTTTTTCGATGTGGAGGTCGCCCTTGAAGACGTTATCTCCGCAGTCTCAGTTTCTGAAGGCTCTTCTGGAGAAGATGATGTCAACGAGGATGACAATGGGGATATGGAGGACGCGCTGCTTGAGGAGCCGACTCTACTGACCCAGGTTCACGGCCCCCCCTTCCCACTCTGGGGAGGGTGAGTATAGCAGTGACAACGAGGAGAGGAAGCGCTTTCCAACCTCTCCTCGGGACAGTCGTCCACTCTGCCAGCCTCTGTATATTCTGATTTCTCAGGGCTTATCTAGGAAGCTGCCAGATGCCTCAGGATCTCCCTCCCCCTGGCCAGAAATCCTGACATGATGGTGGGCGGGCCTTTGGCTTAGGTGGCGACCTCCACTCCTGCATCGGCGCCACAACAAAAGGCACCGTGGGAGAGTGTGTTAAAGACTCAGTGACCAGTTGTTCTGTTGCTCAGCCTCCTCTCTGCATGCGCTCCCCCTCTGTTGAAGGGAGGAGAGACTTGGTTTTTGATTTCCTGTCAAATAAAGATTTTTCCTGACAGTCACAAAAAGAGCCTGTCTTCCATAACGGTCAGACGATCTCCCAGGTCGCTCCCTCCTCTTTCTCTATTACGGCGGGTCACTCGTATGTCCAAAATAAAGAGTGGCGCAGTGGTCTAAGGCACTGCATCGCAGTGCTAACTGTGTCACTAGAGATCCTGGTTCGAATCCAGGCTCTGTCGCAGCCGGCCGCGACCGGGAGACTCATGGGCGGCGCACAATTGGCCCAGCGTCGTCCAGGGTAGGGGAGGGAATGGCCGGCAGGGATGTAGCTCAGTTGATAGAGCATGGCGTTTGCAACGCCAGGGTTGTGGGTTCGATTCCCACAGGGGGCCAGTATAAAAAAAAAATATGTATTCACTAACTGTAAGTCGCTCTGGATAAGAGCGTCTGCTAAATGACTAAAAAATGTAAATGTAAAAAATGTATCCTCAGCCCCTCCCATTTGGGAAGGTGGCTGCACGCTCGCCACCTCTCGTGTCCTTACCTCACTGCTGGAGCTTGTGCTCTTATGGTTTGCCTCTCAAACACCACGGCCCCCCTCAGGAGTGTGGTCAGCGGTGACTACCCTTCGCCAAGCGTGTCAGTGATCTATGCTCTCTGCCAATGCAAACCGACTGTCTCGCCATCAATGGTGATCTGAGCAGGGTGGTGTAGTGTCCTAATCCTGCTTTCATGCCTAATATTATTAAGAGCTCTTACAGATCACGGATCCTTGAGCTGTGGGTTTTCTCTTCTCTCCCTCATGCGAGAGAGAGGAATGGCTCCATCGTCTGTGTCCTGTCCACCTGTTGGCGCGTTATGTGGAGTGCACAGCGATGGTTAGGTCATCACCCCAGCTGTTTGTGTGCTATGGTGCTGCGGCGCTTGGTCAGCCACTCTCAAAATAGCGATTGTCTCACTGGCTCTGCGATGGCATTGCCTTGAGACTAAGGGGTGCCCAGTGCCTTCGGACATTAGGGCTCACTCCACACGTGGAGTTGCGACCTTCTCTGCCCTTTTCAGAGCATTGTGGTCGACGCCTTCCCCTTTTATCAGTTTTCTACCTTTTAGATACGTCATCGGGCTCTATCGCAAAGTCTGCACTTGGCGTGGCTGCTGAGAGGACTTAAGCTGAGGGGGTGGGGTGATGACCTTCATCGTTGTGCACTCCGCATAACGCGCCAACAGGTGGACAGGACACAGACGATGGAGCCATTCCTCTCTCTCGCATGAGGGAGAGAAGAGAAAACCCACAGCTCAAGGATCCGTGATCTGTAAAAATCTTTATTTTGGACATACAGTGCCTTCAGACCCTTGACTTTTTCCACATTTTGTGACGTTAAAGCCTTATTCTAAAATTGATTAAATAAAACATTTCCCTCAGCAATCTACACACAATACCCCATAATGACAAAGCGAAAACAGGTAGTTAGACATTTTTGCACATTTATTAAAAATAAAAAACAGGAATACCTTATTTACATAAGTATTCAGACCCTTTGCTATGAGACTCGAAGTTGAGCTCAGGAGCATCCTGTTTCCGTTGATCATCCTTGAGATGGATCTATAACTTGATTGGACATTATTTGGAAAGGCACACAACTGTCTTTATAAGGTCCCACAGTTGACAGTGAATGTCAGAGCAAAAACCCAGCCATGAGGTCGAAGGAATTGTCCGTGGTGCTCCGAGACATGATTGTGTCGAGGCACAGATTTGGGGAAGGGTACCAAGAACACAGTGGCCTCCATCATATGACATGGTTATGACGCTCATCACTCCATTCAATGTATTAATGTGACACAGAGGTTGGTAAATTATGTTATAACATCTGGTATGTAGGCTCTTATGTAGCATGTAATAACGTATGACATAAGTTGTCTTGCAGACTGTGTAATAGCAGTTATTAACAGTTGACATTAGACCATATAACAGGATGAGCAGTCATCTATAACACCCATTATAATTAGTTTCATGACATCTTATTCCATAACTCATAAATATTTAAAACTTCTCATGACAGCTTATAACAAATGTTATGTGTTACATAGCAGTTATAAAGGCTTTATGAATGCATGAAGGAGGACACCTACGGTAAAGTGTTACCCACATTTATTTTCTGCCCTTCACCTTTAGCTTGAGCAGCTGTTGATAGAGATTTCCCTCCTATGATTTGTCCCTACACAGTTTTGTTAGGTATTCCTACAGAAAACAGAAAAATATATGTTCCTTTTCCGCTCTTGGTCTTTAGCTTGAGCAGCTGTTTGATGGGCATTCTCTTTGGGTTAGCCCCTAATGTATTTTCCTTTACAGAAAACAGAAAAATACATGTTTATTTTCCGCTCTTGATCTTTAGCTTGAGCGGCTGTTTGATGGGCATTCCCTTTGGGTTAGCCCCTAATGTATTTTCTACTGCATGTTAGTTGATGATGATTGATATTATCCTTGGGTTCCCCCCCCCCCCCCCCATTGCATCTTCCTACAGTGAGGGAAAAAAGTATTTGATCCCCTGCTGATTTTGTACGTTTGCCCACTGACAAAGAAATGATCAGTCTATAATTTTAATTGTAGGTTTATTTGAACAGTGAGAGACAGAATAACAACAACAAAAAAATCCAGAAAAACGCATGTCAAAAATGTTATAAATTGAGTTGCATTTTAATGAGTGAAATAAGTATTTGACCCCCTCTCAATCAGAAAGATTTCTGGCTCCCAGGTGTCTTTTATACAGGTAACAAGCTGATATTAGGAGCACACTCTTAAAGGGAGTGCTCCTAATCTCAGCTTGTTACCTGTATAAAAGACACCTGTCCACAAAAGCAATCAATCAATCAGATTCCAAACTCTCCACCATGGCCAAGACCAAAGAGCTCTCCAAGGATGTCAGGGACAAGATTGTAGACCTACAATCTGGAATGGGCTACAAGACCATCACCAAGCAGCTTGGTGAGAAGGTGATAATAATAATAAATAACTGTCAATCTCCCTCGGCCAGGGGCTCCATGCAAGATCTCACCTCATGGAGTTGCAATGATCATGAGAACAGAGAGGAATCAGCCCAGAACTACACGGGAGGATCTTGTCAATGATCTCAAGGCAGCTGGGACCATAGTCACCAAGAAAACAATTGGTAACACATTACGCCGTGAAGGACTGAAATCCTGCAGAGCCCACAAGGTCCCCCTGCTCAAGAAAGCACATATACAGGCCCGTCTGAAGTTTGCCAATGAACATCTGAATGATTCAGAGGAGAACTGGGTGAAAGTGTTGTGGTCAGATGAGACCAAAATCGAGCTCTTTGGCATCAACTCAACTCGCCGTGTTTGGAGGAGGAGGAATGCTGCCTATGACCCCAAGAACACCATCCCCATCGTCAAACATGGAGGTGGAAACATTATGCTTTGGGGGTGTTTTCCTGCTAAGGGGACAGGACAACTTCACCGCATCAAAGGGACGATGGACGGGGCTATGTACCGTCAAATCTTGGGTGAGAACCTCCTTCCCTCAGCCAGGGCATTGAAAATGGGTCATGGATGGGTATTCCAGCATGACAATGACCCAAAACACACGGCCAAGGCAACAAAGGAGTGGCTCAAGAAGAAGCACATTAAGGTCCTGGGCTGGCCTAGCCAGTCTACAGACCTTAATCCCATAGAAAATCTGTGGAGGGAGCTGAAGGTTCGAGTTGCCAAACGTCAGCCTTAAAACCTTAATGACTTGGAGAAGATCTGCAAAGAGGAGTGGGACAAAATCCTTCCTGAGATGTGTGCAAACCTGGTGGCCAACTACAAGAAACATCTGACCTCTCTGATTGCCAACAAGGGATTTGCCACCAAGTACTAAGTCATGTTTTGCAGAGGGGTCAAATACTTATTTCCGTCATTAAAATGCAAAATAAATGTATAACATTTTTGACATGCTTTTTTCTGGATTTTTTTGTTGTTATTCTGTCTCTCACTGTTCAAATAAACCTACCATTACAATTATAGACTGATCATTTCTTTGTCAGTGGGCAAAGGTACAAAATCAGCAGGGGATCAAATACTTTTTTCCCTCACTGTAGGTGTACCTCCACTGTACTCATATCTTTCCATATCCTTGTCTGTACATGATGCCCTGAATCTATTCTACAACGCCCGGAAATCTGCCCCTTTTCTCTGTACCCAATGCACTAGAAGACCAGTTCTTAAAGCCTTTAGCCGTATCGTTGTTCTATTCCTCCTCTGTTCCTCTGGTGATGTAGAGGTTAACCCAGGCCCTGTAGACCCCAGTATCACTCCTACCCCCCAGGTGCTATCATTTGTTGACTTCTGTAACCGTAAAAGCCTTGGTTTCTTGCATGTTAACATCAGAAGTCTCCTCCCCAAGTTTGAGTTATTCACTGTGTTAGCACACTCTGCCAACCCTAATGTTCTAGCAGTGTCTGAATCTTGGCTTAGGAAGGCCACCAAAAATTCAAAAATGTCCATTCCGAACTACAACATTTTCCGTCTAGATAGAACTGCCAAAGGGGGTGGAGTTGCAATCTACTGTAGAGATAGCCTGTAGAGCTCTATCATACTATCCAGGTCTGTGCCCAAACAGTTTGATCTTCTACTACTAAAAATCCACCTTTCCAGAAATAGGTCTCTCACTTTTGCCGCTTGCTACAGACCCCCCTCAGCCCCCAGTTGTGCCCTGGACACCATATGTGAATTGCTTGCCCCTCATCTATCCTCAGAGATCGTACTGTTGGTGACCTAAACTGGGATATGCTTAACACCCTGGCCGTCCTACAATCTAAACTAGATGCCCTCAATCTCACACAAATTATCAAGGAACCTACCAGGTACAACCCTAAATCCGTAAATATGGGCACCCTCATAGATATCATCCTGACTAATTTACCCTCTAAATACACCTCTGCTGTCTTCAACCAGGATCTGAGCGATCACTGCCTCATTGCCTGCGTCCGTAATGGGTCTGTGGTCAAATGACCACCCCTCATCACTGTCAAACACTCCCTAAAACACCTTTCTAATTGACCTGGCCCGGGTATCCTGGATGGATATTGACATCATTCCGTCAGTAGAGGATGCCTGGATGTTCTTCAAAAGTGCTTTCCTCTCCATCTTAAATAAGCATGCCCCATTCAAAAAATTCAGAACTAAGAACACATATAGCCCCTGGTTCACCCCAGACTTGAATGACCTTGACCAGCACAAAAAAATCCTGTGGTGTACTGCATTAGCATCGAACAGCCCCCGCGATATGCAACTTTTCAGGGAAGTCAGGAACCAATATACATTGTCACAAACCCTATTACTAGCCTGTTCAACCTCTCTTTCGTATCATCTGAGATCCCCAGAGATTGGAAAGCTGCCGCGGTCATCCCCCTCTTCAAAGGGGGTGACACTCTAGATCCAAACTGTTACAGACCTATATCCATCCTGCCCTGACCTTCGAAAGTTTTTGAAAGCCAAGTTAACAAACAGATCACCGACCATTTCGAATCCCACCGTACCTTCTCCGCTATGCAATCCGGTCATGGGTGCACCTCAGCCACGCTCAAGGTCCTAAACGATATTATAACCGCGATCGATAATAGACAGTACTGTGCAGCCATCTTCATCAACCTGGCCAAGGCTTTCGACTCTGTCAACCACCGCACTCTTATTGGCAGACTAAATAGCCTTGGTTTCTCAAATGACTGCCTCGCCTGGTTCACCAACTACTTCTCAGATAGAGTTCAATGTGTCAAATCGGAGGGCCTGTTGTCTGGACCTATGGCAGTCTCTATGGGGGTGCCACAGGGTTCAATTCTTGGGCCGACTCTTTTCTCTGTGTATATCAATGATGTCGCTCTTGCTGCTGGTGACTCTCAGATCCACCTCTACGCAGACGACACCATTTTGTATACATCTGGCCCTTCATTGGACACTGTGTTAACAAATCTCCAAATGAGCTTCAATGCCATGCAACACTCCTTCCGTGGCCTCCAACTGCTCTTAAACGCTAGTAAAACTAAATGCATGCTCTTCAATCGAACGCTGCTTGCACCCGCCCGCCCTACTAGAATCCCTACTCTCGGCAGGGTTGACTTAGAATATGTGGACAACTACAAATACCTAGGTGTCTGGTTAGACCGTAAACTCTCCTTCCAGACTCACATTAAGCATCTCCAATCCAAAGTTAAATCTAGAATTGTTCTCGTTGGCTGGCCCTCACTACATATTTGTCGCCAAAGTCACTGGCTCCAGGTCATCTATAAATTACTTCTAGGCAAATCCCCGCCTTATCTTAAATCATTGGTCACCATAGCAACACCCACCCATAGTATGCGCTCCAGCAGGTATATCTCACTGGTCATCCCCAAAGCCAACAACTCCTTTGGCCGCCATTCCTTCCAGTTCTCTGCTGCAAATGACTGGAACGAACTGCAAAAATCTCTGAAGCTGGAGACACTTATCTCCCTCACTAACTTTAAGCATCAGTTGTCAGAGCAGCTTAACGATCACTGCACCTGTACACAGCCCATCTGTAATTAGCCCACCCAACTACCTCATCCCCATATTGTTATTTACATTGTTATTTATTTTGTTCATTTGCATCCCAGTATTTCTATTTGCACATCATCTTCTGCACATCTATCACTCCAGTGTTAATACTAAATTGTAATTATTTTGCACTATGGCCTATTTATTGCCTTACCTCAATAACTTACTACATTTTCACACACTGTATATAGATTTTCTATTGTGTTATTGACTGTACGTTTTGTTTATTCCATATGTAACTCTGTGTTGTTCTTGTTTTTATTGCACCACTTTGCTTTATCTTGGCCAGGTCGCAGTTGTAAATAAGAACTTGTTCTCAACTGGCTTACCTGGTTAAATAAAGGTTAAATAAATAAAAAAATACAAATCAAATAGAAGTATCTATAGTATTGAGAGAAGTTCAGTGGGTTATTCCAAAACGAGCGACAATAATAAGGGAACAATTAGGCACGAGGAAAACAATAATGAAAATATAACTGACCCTACACCCTAATATAGACACTGAACCAAACCTAATGCTAGCATCAGGGAGACCAAGAATACAGGGAATAGAGATGTCAGGAACACAAGTAGAAATCATGAAGATAAGGTTCCCAGAGAATAAAGAAGAGATTGGAAAAATCTCTGATGAATGGGAAAAAAGAACCAGAAAGATGGCAACAAAATGGCCAAAGGAAGGAACGTTTGATGTGACAGTGTGTAAGGAAATGGATACCATAATAAAGTATTATAAAACAGGAGAGAAAGGGGAGAAAATAAAGAAGAGAGAGAAAGAGAGAGACATTTTGAAAATGTTCTGGGAGGAAGGAAAGGGCTGGATAGAGAGCATGGCCAAAGCTAGAAGGATAATAATGGAAAAAGAGAGAGAACCAAAAAAGGCTTGCCCAACTGCACCACTACCGTACACACAATGGGGGCAATATCCTCAGGTCACAGGACTAGTCTCAATAACAGGGAATGTAGAGCTAGAAGAGGAAAAAGGGAAGCAGAGGGCTTCCACCTCAAAAGGGCTTCCACCCCAAAAAGAGAAAGAACATATAACTTAGATATATAATGTTATGAGGGACTGAGGGGCATGTTAACAAAACTGGAAAATTATGTGATAGATGAACAAGATTATGATGGCACTGCAAGCCCACCTGGAAAAATCAAATAGAGAATTAAAAAACAGAAGGACAATAAAAAAGGCAGAAGGTATGGAGCTCAATATCCCATTTTGGTAAAGGGGACACATGTTCACTATGTGCCATGGGGGATCACAGGACCTGGAAGGCCTGGTGACTAGACAGCCAAACATACATGAAGGAGCAGGAAAACAGATTAGAACATTTGAAGAACAAACAATGGGGAAACTACTGGCGGTGGGAGATTTGAAGGCATTGCTGGCCAGGGTGGTGGGAGTGGTCAACATGGAGGACCTGTTGCAGGCGGGTGGCCTCATACAGGCGGTGTGGAGGACGCTACAGGATGGAGTGGCCTTTGACAATTATAGGCCAGGACTATGGTACACTCTGAGAATAGAGTATCCGGCCAAAATAGACCCTAAAGCACTGAGAGGGGAGCCATTGGGGGATAAAGAAAACCTGGCAGGTTACCTGGAGGACCAGCTCAAGAGGTGGCGACAAGAAACAGAAAGAGACCCAGAGGGGGATCCACTGATGACAACACTGTTCAGGACATCACTGATGGAAGCAATGACAACGCCTGTCAGAAGCAGACTGGAAGATGTGGTGGGACTAACACCAAAGTCACACAAAGAGTTCTGCGACCATGTTATCCACGCAGTGGAAAAATACAGGAAGGACGAACAAAAACTGACAGAGCAGGGGAGAGACGTTCAAAGAAAACTGACAGATGCAGCTGGAAGAGCTGACAAGAAAGGACAAAAAGAAAACACAAACCCCAGTGATTACTCCAGTACTGCCAGAAGAGGGTGCCATGGCACCTGTTCTCCAGGGAGGTTCACAACCACAGCCTCAACCACAAGGCCAAAGAGCTCCTGCCATACCAGTAGTGAATGTGTACACACAACAATCCCCTGGACAGTGGCAAAACTAAAATAATGGAAACAGACCCAGGAATCAAGGGCACCGACCACAGCAGCAGACATACCAAAATGGTGGACCAGGAAGACCGCCAGGTGTCTGCTGGGAGTGTCATCAATTAGGACATACAAGAAGGGATTGTCCTACTAACCCATGGCTGCCTAGGCAACCACAACAGGGTAATTGGCAAATAAATTACACCAGCTCAGATGCATGGCAACAGTCTCAGACACAGGAGGACCAAATCAGGGATACTAGGGATGCCCAGATAATCCTAGAGGGGAGTGTCAGCTAGTGGCAGTAACTATGCAGGCTGATGAAGAACCTATGCTGCAGGTTCAGGTGAACAAATAGAGGCACACCCATGACAATAGATACTGGAGCAACTTACTTATGTGTAAGTCCGCATTAACCCTCTCACCTCCCCATGTTAGGCAAATATGCAAAGACAGTAGGATTTTTGTTACAAATGCATCTAATACCTATGACAGTTCCAGTAAAACTAGAAGCAGGAGGAAAAGCTACCAGCAAACCTATATTGGTATCAGAACAAACTCCAGTTAATCTATTAGGAAGAGATGCACTGTGCAGAATGGGCATCCGAAATAAATTAACATCAGAGGGACTAAATGCGCTGACCAACTGGCAAATCTGAGTTGGTAATACCAACATGTTTCAAGTAGACCACCATAGTCCCTGTGCCCAAGGACACTAAGATAACCTGCCTAAATGACTACAGACCCGTAGCACTCACGTCTGTAGCCATGAAGTGCTTTGAAAGGCTGGTCATGGCTCACATCAACACCATTATCCCAGTAACCCTAAACCCACTCTAACTTGCATACCGCCCCAACAGATCCACAGATGATGCAATCTTTATTGAACTCCACACTGCCCTTTCCCACCTGGATAAGAGGAACACCTATGTGAGAATGCTATTAATTGACTACAGCTCAGCGTTCAACACATTAGTGCCCTCAAAGCTCATGACTAAGCTAAGGACCCTGGGACTAAACACCTCCCTCTGCAACTGGATCCTGGGCTTCTTGACGGGCCGCCCCCAGGTGGTAATTGTAGGTAACAACACATCTGCCACGCTGATCCTCAAAACGGGGGCCCCTCCGGGGTGTGTGCTCAGTCCCCTCCTGTACTCCCTGTTCACCCATGACTGCATGACCAGGCATGACTCCAACACCATCATTACATTTTCTGACGACACAACAGTGGTAGGCCTGATCACCGACAATGATGAGACAGCCTATAGGGAGGAGGTCAGAGACCTGGCCGTGTGGTGCCAGGATAACAACCTCTCCCTCAACGTGATCAAGACAAAGGAGAGAATTGTGGACTACAGGAAAAAAGAGGACTGAGCACGCCCCCATTCTCATCGACAGGGCTGTAGTGGAACAGGTTGAGAATTTCACGTTTCTTGGTGTCCACATCACCAACAACCTTTCATGGTCCAAACACACCAAGACAGTCGTGAAGAGGGTACGACAACGCCTATTCCCCCTCAGGAGACTGAAAATATTTGGCATGGGTCCTCAGATCCTCAAAAAGTTCTACAGCTCCACCATCGAGAGCATCCTGACTGGTTGCATCACCGCCTGGTATGGCAACTGCTCAGCCACCGACCACAAGGCGATACAGAGGGTAGTGCGTACGGCCCAGTACATCACTGGGGCCAAGCTTCCTGCCATCCAGGACCTCTATACCAGGCGGTGTCAGAGGAAGGCCCTAAAAATTGTCAAAGACTCCAGCCACCCTAGTCATATACTGTTCTCTCTGCTACCGCACGGCAAGTGGTACCGGAGCGCCATGTCTAGGTCCAAAAGGCATCTTAACAGTTTTTACCCCCAAGCCATAAGTCTCCTGAACAGCTAATCATGGCTACCCAGATTATTTGTACTGCCCCCCCCCCACCCCAAGTCACTTTAACTCTACCCACATGTACATATTACCTCAATTACCTCAACTAGCCGGTGCCCCATTGACTCTGTACCGGTCCCCCACTTTATATAGCCTCCCTACTGTTATTTTATTTTACTGCTGCTCTTTAGTTATTTGCTTTTATTTTTTACTTATCAATTTTTTCCTTAATACTTTTTTAAATTAATTTTTGTCTTTAAGAAACTGCATTGTTGGTTAAGGGCTTCTAAGTAAGCATTTCACTGTAATGTCTACACCTGTTGTATTTGGCAAATGTGGCAAATACAATTTGATTTGATTTGATTTGATTTGAATAATAGATCAGGAAGGTGTACGTCCACAGATGATGATGGCTATGGACAAAACAGCAAATTTATACTGGATAGGGAACAAAGAATCACCAGAACCACCACTACTAAAGAAGTGGGGAAAATGTATAAGGGCTCAAGTTCTAGAAATGAAATCACCAAAATTAGGCTCTCATTGTACACTACAATATGACCCATATCAAAATAATTTGCTAGAACAACTATGGTTGAGGAAGGCATGGGGTAAACCGGCCTCCATGATATCACAATATTTTGTAATAGGGAAACAACGGGCAGCAATGGAAGCACAAGATGCTCCAGGTGCTGATATCGTACAGACCTGGTTTGAAATATAAGGAACAGAACCTCACATAACACTTTTAGTGGCTGAGGGATATCAGGCAAAATACCTAGGACCAATGATGAAAAAGGCTAAAAGTACACAGTGGGTAAAAACAGAGAATCCATTAATTTTCCAGTCTGTTGACAAAAACCTAATTAAAGTCCTATGCTTTGCAGAACTGATGGGGGAACCACAGGAAGTGGAAATAACTGAGGAAAGATAGATGCCAGTAGTTAAAGAAGAAACAAAACAAGAAAAGTGAAGGAAACAAATGGAAAGTATGATCACATAAGACTTATGGGCAAAACATGATACAGATGTGGGTTTGGTAAAATCACCTAATCACATTTGTATTTCTCAGACACAAGAATCCCATGGAAACAGCAATACCCAATGAAACCTGAAGCAGAGGCAGGAATTCCAGCTATGGTAGCGGGACTGATAGAAGCAGGAGTACTGGTTAAAACCCAGAGTGACTGTAACACGCCACTGCTACCAGTACTAAAAGCAGACAAACAGAAGTGGAGACTGGTCCATGACCTGAGAGCAGTGAATGAAGTAGTTCAAGACTACCAAGCAGAGGTACCCAATCCACACACACTGTTAACAAACATTCCAGCAGATGCAAAATGGTTCTCAGTGATATGCTTATTTCCAGTGTACCCTTAGCGGAAGAAAGTAGACACTTGTTTGCATTTACTTACAAAGGACAGCAATTTACATACACGAGGATGCCTCAGGGATTTAAGCATTCTCCTCATTTGTTTAATCAAGTATTAAGCGCTGACTTAGAAGACCTAACATTAGAAGGGACATTAAAACAGTATGTAGATGACTTACTGGTTTGTGCAACCACAATATAACTAAGCCATCAGGATACTGTAAAAATATTGGAAAGGCATGCAGAAGGAGGACATAAAGTGTCAAAGAAAAATATTGTCAGGCACAAGTTGAGTACCTAGGAAGAACAATAGCTCAGCAGACTAAAGCAATTGCACCCTCACAATTGGAAGGGTTGAGTAAGGCTCCAGTGCCACAAACAGTGGGACAGATGCTAACATTTTTGGGAAAGGATTTAGTTCTTGGGTAGGATTGGGTAGAAGATCATGCAGTAAAAACAGCACCTTTAAGAGAAATAATGAAAAATGCAGGAGTAACAGAGTTGAGAGCAAAACTAAAATGGAACAGCAATGCAGTAGCAGCATTTGAAATGATAAAACAGGATATGCAAACAGCCCCAGCACTAGGGACTCCAGACTACACGAAACCCTTCTTACTGTATGTAGCAAACCGCTATCAGGGATTTGCAGCAGCAGTACTGATGCAAGAAACCTGTGCAGGAAGGAGAAAGCAGCCAATAGCATTTTACAGATTCAGTAGCACAAGCGCATCAACCATGTTACCAGGGATTGGCTGCTGTACAGTATGCATATGACAAAGCTTCCACAATCATAATGGGGTACCCAGTGGTGATCTACACTCGTCATAAAATAACTGAGTTGATTGAGCAAGGAAAATGTGAACTGACCAATGCCAGAATATTGGAGCATTTGACATTATTGACCTATCCAGATGTAACCTTAAAATGATGTACTACAGTTAACCCAGCCGAGAGGATACCAATAGAAACTGAAGGCGAACCACATGACTGTATAGTAGAGTCCTTAACATTCACTAAATTGAGACCTGATTTGTTGTCAATTCCAATGCTAGGAGCTACGGAGGAATTGTTTGTAGATGGGTCTTGCTTTAGAGACTATGATGGTAATCATGCTGGTTATGCAGTAATAAGGAAAGGACTAGATGACCAATTCTACACCATAGAGAGTGAAAGTTGTGACCAACCATGTTCTGCTCAACTAGCAGAGCTGAGAGAATTAACAGCAGCATGTAACCTAGGAAGGGATAAAGTGGTAAATATTTACACTGATTCAGCATATGCGCATGGAGTATGCCACCTGTTTGGATCAGTATGGAAACAGAGAGTGTTTAGGAAAACAGATGGAAGCTCAATTTTGCATTTGAACAAATACAATAACTAATGATTGCATTAATGAGGCCAAAACAAATAGCAATTGTTAAATGCCAAGCATACAAGAAGGGAAAATAATACATTACCAGAGGAAACAATGCAGCAGATGAAGAGGCAAAAATAGCATCTAAATGTAAAGTAGCTATACAGGCTCCACTGATTCTGATAGAAGCAGCCCCAGAATAGATGATATAATAAGAATACAGGACAGAGCCAACATAATTGAGCATACTATGTGGGAAAAAAGAGGTGCAACAAAGGATGGGAAGGGATTATGGAGAACACATGATGGGCTAATAGTGGCTCCTATAACACTTCTGAGTTTACTCATTACCAATGCACATGGGTTAGATCATTGTGGAAGAGGGGAGGTAATAAGGAAAATTAGAAAACAGGGTTTCTGGTCCCCATATATGCAAACAACAGTAGATTTAAAATTGGTGCGAAAATATTATCAGAAAAGGAATAACAGCACCAATTGCACACATTCCAGTACCAGAAGGACCTTTCAGACACCTAGCAATAGACTATGTGGATATGATAAAACCAGTGAATGGGAAAAAGTGTATGCTAGTGGTAATTGACAGATTTAGCAGATGGGTAGAAGCAGTCCCATCTAAAACTCTAGGGGCAGCAACAGTAGTACAATTCTTAACAAGAGAAGTGATGCCACGATTTGGGATTCCAACAAAAATCAGTTCAGTCAATGGTTCGGCATTTATAAAGGACACGGCAAAAATAGTGATGCAGCAGTTGCGCATAAAGCAGAGATTAGGATGTGTTTACCATCCTCAATCGCAGGGTATGGTGGAAAGAGTAAACAGTTCTCTGAAGACCAAGATTGCAAAAATCTGTGAGAGTACAAGGTTGAATTGGGTAGATGCCATACCTCTGGCACTAATGAGTTATTGCATGCAAGCTAACAGAGCAATGCATCTAACACCGAATTAAATGCTTACGGGCCGACCCATGCCAGTGCCAGTTCTTAGAGGACCATATTAGGGTCTACCTCTAGAACGGTTGGAAAGGGAGTTAGAAGAGTATATCAGGCAACTAACTGCTATACATAAAGTTATATACCTACAGGAAAAAGACAGAGTTCCTGAACCAGAGGCGAATCCACCACGACCAGTAGTCCCAGGGGAGAAGGTCTACCTCCGGGTCTTCAGAAAGAGGTGGAATGAACAGAGACGTGAGGGACCATACACCGTCACTAGGCTACACCAACTGCCGTAAGGGTCGAGGGGAGCTCAACCTGGTATCATCTGAACCACTGCACCAGAGTACCGCATGGACACCGACGACCTGGAGATGAGGAAGCTGAAGATGCTGAACTACCAGGCAGGGACGGAGAAGAAACAGAAATAGAAGAAGAGGGAGAAGGGATGGAAGCTCAAGCAGAATCACCAATCTGCTGGGGCTGGCCAAAGTCAGGAGATGGGGGAGGATGGTGGTAGGAATGCTGCTGATGAGCTACGTGCTCTGGCTAATTCCTTCAGCCGAGGGGCAGATCTCCAAGACCCTGCAGACCTCCAAGAGCCTGCAGACCTCCATGAACCTACAGACCTCCAAGAGCCTACAGACCTCCAAGACATCCCAGACCTCCAAGAACTCCAAGACCTCCAAGAACTTCAAGAACTTCCAGACCTACAAGACTCACTTGATTTCCCTACCATTGACATTCTCTGTCTTTGATGGGCTCTCCTAGCAGAAATGGGAAACCAGAACAGTTGAACAATGAACATGAAACACTGACAATAGTAAAGAGCACAAGAACAAGACGAAGAAGGGAAATGGACAGAATTAGAATGTATATCCCGGCACAAGCAAGAACCAAAGCTGAAATACAGAAACGGATTGCTGTTAAAAAACAAGGGTCAAATGATTATTGGTGTGGGTGGACCCAGCACAGTAATTATGGAGAAGTCGCATGGGGAAAATGTGATTTAAAGATAATAAAAGAAGAAGACAGGTGAATCATAGACATAAAAGGAACAGCCAAATACTTAGATAAACAATATGATGTAGTATTTACAAGTATTAACTTCCCAATGGGAAAGGTTACTGAAATAAAGATCCCTGTTTGTAAAGATCCCATACCACAGATGATAGATAAGCTTGTGAGCTCTGGGTTTTTAACAACAGAAACTGTTAAGAGGGACTTGACTTAAGCATGTTTTGGTCGTTGTTGCATTGATGAACAAGGTGACATGGTGACGTACATCAGTATAAATACAGCCAACAGTGTGTGACTGAGTAAGTCAATTATTGAGTGGCAATGTTTGCTACAGTCATGGGGGATTCATAGCAATAACACACATAACAGATATGGGAGATATACAGTACATGGGACATTTTAATTTCAAAACACTTGGATCATAGTAATAACTAGCTTTTGCTTGTATTGTATAAAAAAACATACGAGAGACATGTAAGCTAAGCCTTCTAAGGTCTCACATACGTGGGACATACATTTCAAAGCACTTGCATACCACTGTCTGACATCATTGAAGGCCCTCCTGTAGCTCAGTTGGTAGAGTATGGCGCTTGCAACGCCAGGGTTGTGGGTTCGTTTCCCACGGGGGGCCAGTGTGAAAAATGTATGCACTCACTAACTGTAAGTCGCTCTGGATAAGAGCGTCTGCTAAATGACTAAAATGTAAATGTAAAATGTAAGTAATTATTCCTTGGGTAAGCGCACCAAACCCCGTGACTGTTAGAGCCCCAATAGAAGCACCAAACCCCTTAACTGTTTGAGCCCCAACAAAAGCAGAAGGAAGGGAATGGAAGGAGGCACTGTCACGCCCTGGCTCTGGGGACTCTTGTATGTTGAGCCAGGGTGTTAGTTTCTTTGTGTAGTGTCTATGTTTCGTTTCCTATGTTCTGTTCTAGGTTATGTGTTTCTATGTTGGCTGGGGTGATTCTCAATCAGAGGCAACGAGAATCAGCTGTTGCTTGTTGTTTCTGATTGGGAACCATACTTAGGCAGCCATACTTTGTGCACTTGTGATTCGTGGGATCTTGTTCCGTGTTGGTTTGTGTTATTGACCGGGGACTTCACGTTTCGTTTTGTTGTTTTGTATTTTGTATCGTGTTGCTAAGTACACTATTAAAGAGATGTACGCATATCACGCTGCGCCTTGGTCCACTCATTATGACGATCGTGACAGAAGATCCCACCAAATAAGGACCAAGCAGCGTGTCCAGGAGCAGACAGCCTGGACTTGGGAGGAGATCTTGGACGGGCAGGGGTCCTGGACTTGGGAGGAAATCCAGGCCGGTATGGATCGCCGTCCGTGGGAGGAGACGGTGGAGGCGCGCCATAGAGAGGAGCAGCGGCGCCAACCGGGCCGACGTCGGACACGCAAGAGGCAACCCCAATAAAAAATGTTGGGGGGGCACACAGCATGGACGACGGGGCTGCTGGAGGCAGCTACTGGGCGAGTTTGTGGATTAGGAGAGGAGGCCACCGGGTTTGGGGGGCTGGAAGGGAGGTTGGCGGAGCCTAGAGGTAGAGCAGAGCCAACTCCCCGTACTCAGGCTAGGCAGCGTGAGATTGGGCAGGTTCCGAGGTATGCGGAGCTGCGTACTGTGCCGCGAGTGGTCCGGCACAGTCCGGTACGTCCTGTTTGAGCACCACGCACGTGTCGTGCTAAGGTGGGCATGCAGCCAGGACGGAGTGTGCCGGCTCAACGCTCGTGGCCTCCAGTACCCCTCCTCGGTCCCGGATATCCTGCGCCAGTGTCACGTGCTGTAGTGCCAGTACGAGTACACAGCCCTGTACGTACTGTGCTGATGCCTCACACAGAGTGTGTAAAAATAGGCATTCAGCCAGGACGGGTTGTGTCAGCTTTTCGCTCCAGACCTCCAGTCCGTCTCCACAGCCCGGTCCGGCCCGTTCCTATTCCCCGCACCAAGCCTGTGATGCGCGTCGCCAGCCCGGCCCGGCCTGTTCCTGCCCCTCGCACCAAGCCTGTGTTGCGCGTCACCAGCCTGGCCCGGCCTGTTCCTGCCCCTCGCACCAAGCCAATGGTGCGCGTCGCCAGCCCGGCCCGGCCTGTTCCTGCTCCCCGCACCAAGCCTATGGTGCGCGTCGCCAGCCCGGCCCGGCCTGTTCCTAATCCCCGCACCAAGCCTACGTTTCGTTATGTTGTTTTGTATTTTGTATCGTGTTGCTAAGTACACTATTAAAGAGATGTACGCATATCACGCTGCGCCTTGGTCCACTCATTATGATGATTGTGACAGGCACAAAACAGTGATTGGTTTAAATGGGCACAATATACTACATTAAAATTGAAGAATGAAAAGTGTCTAGTATGCACTTCTTCTTCTTTAAAATAATTAACAGTAGTACCAAATCCCTACAGTTATCAGGACTGTGCTGCGTTTAACCTAAACTTTTGTCATCTGAGGACTTGGGGAAGACCATACTGCCCAGCAGAATGTTTGTCATATTTAGGAAACCCAAACTATAGAGAATTCTATAATCAAACAGGATGGGGGAGAAGTGTAAACAGTTAGATGTTAGGGTAGAAATAAAGAAAAGGGAAGTGCCAGAGAAATACCAAATAGACTATGAGTGTTACAACAAAACAAGTGGGGTATTAGATATGGGAAAATTCAAGGGAAAATGTGGAACTACCTGGCACATAGATACAAATAGCCGTTGGAATGCAGATACCCCCCAAAGGAAAGTCTATCAAGCAGCAGGGTCAAGTACTGGAGTAATAGTTACCCCAGAAATATGTGAAAATCAGACATTGGCATTACCACTGATTGCTCCTTATGAGGATCAGATATTAGCAGTTGCAGACTTCTTCTGGCTCTGTGAGGGGCAACTTAGGGTAATATTACCAAAAATATGGAAAGGGCTCTGTGCTAGGGTACAGCTAATACAACAAGTTGTGATAGCTGACTGGGAGGCCTTAAATGTTCATATACAGGATATCAAATTAAGAAGATCAAAAAGGGCATATGAAGCTGATCCAAATGTAAAGATAGATGCTATAGGCCAACCCAGAGGAATTCCTGACAAATTTACAGCTAGGAGTGAGGGTAAATCAGGATTTGAATCAATACTTGTTTGGATAACCCCCAATAAAAATATGGAATGGATCAATTACATATATTACAATCATCAGAGGTTCATAAACTATACCGACTCAGCTTTGTCAGCACTGGGAGAACAAGTACAGGTAACAAGTAGGATGACCTGGCAGAATAGACAGGCTTTAGATTGGATCCTAGCAGAGAAAGGTGGAGTTTGTGTTATTTTTTGGAAGTGAGTGTTGCACTTTTATTCCAAATAACACTGCTCCAGGGGAAACATTCACTGCAGCAATGACCAAGATTAAAGGACTGAGACAAGAACAATGCTGGACAGGATGCTCAGGCTTGGGGCTGGTTGGACTTATCATTTGGAAAATGGGGAGCAATGTTCACAAAGATGGCAATAATGATAGGCATAGCACTGGTAGTAATGGGTATATGTTTTTGCTGTGTGTTGCCATTGCTGAAAACCCTTTTTATCAAAACCACAGGAAAACATATGGCCATAACAACAGTGAACACTAGAAAAAACTGGGAAATGGAATCAACTCCAGGAGGAGTATTCCCTGTTCAAGGACAACCAGGATACTACATCGACCACTTGACTGCCCTTATGGAAACCCATAATGTCTGTATGGGGTAGTGGCAGGAGGAGGATGGGCTTGTCATGACAGGCAACGGCTGAAGAAAACTGGACTTGGAGATATTACTCTCCCAGATTTATATCCTGTTCCATATTACTTTAGTGGTGATAAAGAGTCTAAGCATTAATTAAGGAAAGTAGGTGAGGTAACGTTTAAATTGATTTTGGTGTTGGAACTAGGAGTCCCATATGGGATGCCTGAGGAAAACCTGGAATCCTAAAAAGATAGACTAGGCCTCTCTCATGTTTTCTCTATGTAGTATATGTATGTAACATAGAGTTTCCGGTTACAATTGTCCTTGGACATCTCTTAATCCCCTAAACAGGTTCTGCTTAGATTCAGAAAATGGTTGTTGGGGGGTATCCGGAAGGGAGAGCAAGCATTACTAGACCTTGTAAAACATAAGGGATGATATTATGAACAATAACATTATAAGGGATTTAGTATTTCATGTCTTGCTTATACAATTGCAAGATAACTGCCTTAAATATATATTCTGGTTAAAACAAAGCTGCATTATTTTTATGTGTTAGGATACTAGCACTTATATGTTAATAGGTTGAGTAGAAACATTTATATTGTTACTTTTGGAATAGGTAATGTTTAAAAATATATATATAACCTAAATGCAAGAATTGTGACTTAAATCATGAATATTATGATTTTTATGTTAGTCACTATATATCGCAGTATTCATGTATTAGTCACTATATACATTTGAAGTGTGGGACCTATTAAGTCCCAAATGGGGGATATATTGAGGATTTTTCAGTAGATTATATGTTAAACATAGTAAATTGTCAGTAGACTATTTGTTAAACATAGTAAATATTTTCAGACTATAAGTTAAACACATTTTTCAGTAGACTATAAGTTAAACTATATGTTAAACATAGTAAAATATTTGTAGACTATAAAATTAAAACATTGTTAATCAGATAAACAAGCAGTAAGACTAAGTGATACAGAGTGTGGTACAGAGTGATACAGAGTGTGGTACAGAGTGGTACAGGAGGAGAAGGCCTGGAACAGAGCCAGGAGATGGACCTGGGAAAGGGCCTACTCATTCTTACTATGTGTGGGAAATATGCACTTATGAGAACTGTATATGGTTGAGAATTGATTATGCTCAGAAAATGGACCTGCCATGTTTAAACCATGTTTAAGTATCGATTGATATGTTTTAGAATAAACAGAGCAGAGCCAGGAGACGGCTCTGTTATTTTTTACATGACAGGGCTTGGTCCCGCCACTATTGTTTGCAAACTGAATACATAGAGCGAGGAGACTGAATACATAGAGGGAGGAGAAGTCAGATTTTGCCACTATCATAAACTAAGAAAGTGGGCGGAGCGGTCAAAAGGTGAAGACTTGGAAACAATGGTGGAGGAACTAAACAGGGAGGGATTAAGCTAAAAAGTATGTCAAATGAGCAGGAATAGAACTGTATATAAACTGAGGGCTGAGTGTTGGGAAGTTAGTTGCTCTGCAGACCAGCTCGGCTCTATTGCTTGTGTAATACAGTCTATCTTAATTCTACAAAAACTCTGGAAGTACTTTGATTTTTTAAGACGCCTAAGGACAATTTTCTACAACACTACCACAGCATTCTGCAGCGTTATGACATCCCGACTTTTGGAAAAGCATTCCAGGTGAAGCTGGTTGAGAGAAAGCCAAGAGTGTGCAAAGCTGTCATCAAGGCAAAGAAGAAAAATCTCAAATATAAAATATATTTTGATTTGTTTAACACCTTTTTGTTTACTACATGATTCCATATGTGTTATTTAATTGTTTTGATATCTTCACTATTATTCTACAATGTAGAAAATAGTTTTAATTTTTTTACTTGAAAGAGTAGGTGTGTCCAAACTTTTGACTGGTACTTTACGTATAGATTGAATTTCATTACTGCTACTGTGCTATTTGGGTAGTTAATCAGATTCATCTCGTTTCTTGATTTCTTGTCTTAATTTTTTTCTCCATACATTTGAATTGTTTGACATTTTACTGCATTGTTAGGAGCTAGTAACATAAGCATTTCGCTACACCCACTATAACACCTGCTAAACTATGTACGCGAGCAATAAACTTTGATTTCCCTTGATTGGCCCTGGTCAAAAGTAATGCACTATAAAGGTTATATGGAATTTCCAACATAGATATTGTTGTGCTAAAACATTATTCATTTCATACATTAATAAATGATGATGACAAACAGGGAAGACACAGGTGATTATCTGAATGTAAAGTATCACGTACTGTCTGTGGAGATTTTAGCATGTAAATCTTGGTGGGGAAAACTCAACAAAAAATGTTTCGATTCATGCCAGCAAAGCCACTACACACCACAACACTAAACAATACATTAATTGCACTATAAAGGTGTCAAACACTGGCCAAAAACTGTTAGGGCCTACATAAAGCTGTCCCAACAGCAGAGTCCCAACAGCAGTCCCAACACCTTACCACTGCTACACCTGGCTATCAGCGGAGCCTTGTCTGGCAGCGAAACAGTTTATTCAGCCTCATTTACTGCCTTTTTTTAAAACATAGCTGATATGGCTGACTTGCTTAAACAAATGTGGTTTTTACTGACAATTGAGATGTACAAACTATGGCATAAGGGGACGACGAGCAGATGAGAAGCAATCTGTAATTTAGATGAAGACACTAATGAGCGAGCTAGGGCGGACGTAGTCAATATAACTGTTTGTTCAGCACTTTTGAAATGTAGAGTGACAGAATTCAGAACATGGGCCGTTCTTACAGTATTCTCCCTGTACACAAAGTAAGAACTGTAGGATAAATAAAGGGGGCATATATGCAGACAATGAAATCTCTTACAATATTCGATGATGACATTTCTCTAAAACAGGCTATAGGCTACATGTGCACCACCATGTCAAAACAGTAGGCTAAGTTATGAGGGGACCAAATTATCAGGGTGAGGCACATGGGCTACTAACAGCTTACTACACAACATACACTTAGTATTACTTTCTTAGCTACAATATACATATCTCCCTGGCATATTACATCATTTATGCAGCAGCATACAAGACATTTTGGACTCAACTTGTGCTGTGCTCACTTGAACAGGAAGGTGTCGCGGCGGTCCTTCGTGGGCAAACTTTGTCATCAAAGTCTGTCATTCTCTGGATTTATGGTGCTTTCAAGACAACTGGGAACAAGGTCGAATCATGACGTCAGTGATCTTCAGGTCGGAGCTGAAATTTTTTTTTCAGAGTTGCCAGTTGTCTTGAACTCACTGAAGTCTGAGATTTCCCAGTTCTGAGTTTCCAGTTGTTTTGAGCGTGGCAGAAGTCATGCTGGATTGACAGCATGGCCAATGTTTAATGTTTATCCTTTTAAGCTTGGAAAAGAGACCCTTAAACCCAGACTTGGACCACACACCCACTCCACTGAATAGCAGGCTAGTGATTGCTTTACAATGCTTGCAGTTAGCCACTGATTCCTTCCAAACCACTCATTGTTGAAAACTGTGATTTCCAACTTGTTGTGTAATGTTTATGTCCAATGGCCGATGAGCACAGATAAGTTTTATCTATAATTTTTCTTCATTATTTCTCTTCATATGTCAAGGATTGAAAAGGATTTGCCAGCAGATTGTCGACTTGATTCATGATGATGACTGCTAGCTTGCTAGCTAAGATTCTGAAAGTGTAATGTTGACATGATCAGTCCAATCAAAGCTACAGTAGATATAACGTGATTTAGCACCCAAGGGGCTTTAATTTTCGAGCTCTCCTCGTAGATTTTGCAGTGACGTAGTGTCCCCATGAGTGACAGAACACTGAGCCAATCACGGCGCAACTAGAGAACATTACCAAGCCCTACGCTCCGTATTTTCCGCTGGCTGCCCCTCCACCACAGAAAGCACTGAGCTAAAATGAAACACCTGTATTCTGCCCTGGAATTGCGTTCCCATTTAAAACTAGACAGATAGCTAACAACTGAGTCTTCAATAAAACTTCCAAGGCGTGACTTTTCTTGAACGAATGTATTGAAAACGTTTATGTTGTGAAACTGCAAATACAGAAAATAATATACTTTAGTATTCAATTCATATTGACATACTGTAGCTGTACATTATACATTAAGTTGAAGTTGCATAAATACAAAGCAAGTGCCAAGTTACCATGTATCTGACATGACGACAAACCAAATAGATAATTACTCTATGAGTAACAACTAGCCAACTCCTTTCATTACTCTAATAATGTGCAAACACCTCTGTACAATAACAAAGCATATTACACTACAAACAGTAACAAACTATAGTATAATATGTTTTACACTTCTTTTACATGACGCACGAGCAAAGTAATACAGCTGACAGCATCCATGAAAGTCAATGCAATTTGCGTGAGTAAATGTAACCAACTAACATTGAGAAGTAAGCAATTCTATCAATAACAATATTATCATCACTAGCAATATGCTTGAATTGAACTTACAAAGAAATATTTTCCGAGGCTGAAGCGTGACAAGAAATAGTTGCACAGAAAGAATCGTAGCGTTGTTTCTAGCTGCTTGTCTGCGTGCAGAATGACTACTCTACTTCCGGTTTTTGTACATTCTTCTAAGTACCAGAAAGCTCCACTAGGGGGCGATAAACACCATGGAACACAATGAAAGTCACTCTTAACCACTATAATAAAATAATCTGTTACCTTCTAACAGGATGGCAGCACAACCTGCATTTTCGAGCTGCCTTACTCAAGAAAGCAAAAAAGAGACCATGTTTGTATGCGGCTTTATTAACGCAATGTTGTTGTATTGTTTTACATTTCTTGTTCACCCCCCACACACACTTATGCCAGGAGCCGGCCCTGTGCTGTTAAAGTGAGAGCATAGAGAGGTAACGTTACATCTTCTCTTCCTTCTCTTCCATGACATTATTACCCATCTGTTTCTGTGTGCGTGCAGCTGAGCAGGCCATTCTGTGATCTGCTGAAATCACACTTGAGTCAGCAGTACAGTAGCTTAGTAGTGCAGCTGGGATGGGAGAGGCTTAATCATCAGGCCTAGTACAGTATAAATAGCACCATTCATATATCAACGTAACTAAAGGAACACAAATATAGAATGAAGGCCAAGAAAAAAATCACAAAATTGTGTTGTAGCAAATCCAGTATGGCTGAATTGGAAATGCTTTTAGCCTACTATAATAATAATAATAATATGCCATTTAGCAGACGCTTTTATCCAAAGCGACTTACAGTCACTATTTAGGCAGAGGTCTAGACCACATGGTACAACGCAAGCTTAGGTAACACTGGCCAGTTAACCTAATATCCCCTACTATCCCCTATTATCATCTCAGGCCTAACAACACCCATGACCCATTCTTGGGCAATATCACTTAACAACACACACACACACACACACATCCCCTCAAACATGCTGTCTCTCTAGAGAGAGACTGCATTGACACAGCCCACCCACCCAGTTCTTCAGACGGAGTGGAGTGGTTCAGGAGTAGACTATTTGTGGTGGTGGAAGGGCTCATTGTCGGTCTGCCCTGAGATAAAGGATATAGGACTGAGCCTGACTTAAAAGGTTGTGCAATACACAGACAGACTTAGAGAAGAAGAGCGAGAGAAGAGAGAAGGGCCCAAGCTGCAAGAGAAAAGGGCCCAAGCTGCAGATTAGATGTAATTTGCTGATTAGTGTGTCCTGCAGGCATCTGTGGCACTGGAGAACACACATACACATACAGCTCTGCGGGCAATACACAAATGAATCATACAGTGGCATGCGAAAGTATTCACCCCCCTTGGCATTTTTCATATTTTGTTGCCTTACAACCTGGAATTAAAATGGATTTTTGATTTACACAACATGCCTACCACTTTGAAGATGCAAAATATGTTGTATTCTGACACAAACAAGAAAGAAGACAAAAAAACAGACAACTTGAGTGAGCATAACTATTCACCCCCCAAAGTCAATACTTTTAGAGCCACCTTTTGCAGCAATTACAGCTGCAAGTCTCTTGGGGTATGTCTCTATAAGCTTAGCACATCTAGCCACTGGGATAGCATTTTCCTTGATGGCCAAAAAGCTAACTTTTAGTCTCATCTGACCAGAGTACCTTCTTCCATATGTTTGGGGAGTCTCCCACATGGCTTTTGGCGAACACCAAACGTGTTTGCTTATTTTTTTCTTTAAGCAATGGCTTTTTTCTGGCCACTCTTCCATAAAGCCAAGCTCTGAGGAGTGTACGGCTTAAAGTGGTCCTATGGACATATAGTCTAATCTCCGCTGTAGAGATTTGCAGCTCCTTCAGGGTTATCTTTGGTCTCTTTCTTGCCTCTCTGATTAATGCCATCCTTGCCTGGTCCGTGACTTTTGGTGGGTGGCCCTCTCTTGGCAGATTTGTTGTGGTGCCATATTCTTTCAATTTTTTAAAAATGGATTTAATGGTGCTCTGTGGGATGTTCAAAGTTTCAGATATTTTTTTATAACCCAACCCTGATCTGTACTTCTCCACAAATGTGTCCCTGACTTGTTTGGAGAGCTCCTTGGTCTTCATGGGGCTGCTTTCTTGGTAGTGCCCCTTGCTTAGTGGTGTTGCAGACTCTGGGGCCTTTCAGAACAGGTGTATATATATACTGAGATCACGTGACAGATCATGTGACACTTAGATTGCACACAGGTGGACTTTATTTATCTAATTATGTGACTTCTGAAGGTAATTGGTTGCACCAGATCTTATTTAGGGGCTTTATAGCAAAGGGGGTGAATACAAATGCACGCACAACTTTTCCGCCATTATTGTTTTTGCATTTTTTGAAACAAGTAATTTTTTTCATTTTACTTCACCAATTTTGACTACTTTGTGTATGTCCATTACATGAAATCCAAATAAAAATCCATTTAAATTACAGGTTGTAATGCAACAAAATAGGAAAAATGCCAAGGGGGATGAATACTTTTGCAAGGCACTGTACATTTAGAAGTTTTCAAATGACTTGTTCGAGTGCCAGAAGAGGATAGGAGAGTGACCTGAGGGAAAATGTGATCTTTCCAGTTGCACGAAACACTTACATTACATCAGTACCTTCTATGTTTATTATTTTCATTTCTTTTTTGTTTAACCACTCAGAACATACATTGAGCAAAAATGTCTCTGAGCAAAAAGCAAAAATGACGCACTCCAGCTATTTTTGAACGTTTCCTGTTGAAAAGCAATATCCGAAGTATAAATACAGTAATGTACACACTAGTAAATATATATTTTTGCAAACTTCAAGGAGTAGGCCATTCAAGTAGTTGGTCTGATTGTCTGATGTGATGTCATCAGCCTCCCGCTTGCTTGCGAGAACAATAGAGGAAAGGTGCACCCCCCCCCCCCCCCCCCCCCCCCCCCCCCCCCCACACACTTGTGCTATGTAATGACATACATGGACCACCTATTAATTTACCTTTTGTTAAGTATATAAATTAAATACAATTAAATGTGTCACATGCGCCGAATACAACATGTGTAGACCTTACCGTGAAATGCTTACTTACAAGCCCTTAACCAACAATGCAGTTTTAAGAAGAAAAAAAAGTTAAGAAATAGATATTTACTAAATAAACTAAAGTTAAAACTAAATGAGCAACAATGAAATAACTTTTATTGAGGCTATGTACAGGGTACCGGTACCGAGTCAATGAGTGTACAGATTAGTCGAGGTAATTGAGATAATATGTACATGTAGGGGTAAATGACTATGCATAGATAATAGATAATAAACCGCGAGTAGCAGCAGTGGGGGGGGTCAATGCAAATTGTCTTGGTAGCCATTTGATTAGCTGTTCAGCAGTCTTATGGCTTGGGGGTAGAAGCTGTTAAGGAGCCTTTTGGACCTAGACTTGGCGCTCCGGTACCACTTGCCGTGCGGTAGCAGAGAGAACAGTCTATGACTAGGGTGGCTGGAGTCTTTGGCAATTTTTAGGGCCTTCCTCTGACACCGCCTGGTATAGAGGTCCTGGATGGCAGGAAGCTTGGCCCCAGTGATGTACTGGGCCGTACGCACTACCCTCTGTATCGCCTTGCGGACGGAGTCCGAGCAGTTGCCATACCAGGCAGTGATGCAACCAGTCAGGATGATCTCGATGGTGCAGCTGTAGAACTTTTTGAGGATCTGAGGACCCATGCCAAATCTTTTCAGTCTCCTGAGAGAGAATAGGCGTTGTCGTGCCCTCTTCACAACTGTCTTGGTGTGTTTGGACAATGAGAGTTTGTTGGTGATGTGGACACCAAGGAACTTGAAGCTTTCAACCTGCTCCTCTACAGCCCCGTCGATGAGAATGGGGGCATGCTCTGCCCTCCTTTTCCTGTATTGCATGATCATCTCCTTTGTCTTGATCACGTTGAGGGATAGGTTGTTGTCCTGGCACCACACTTCCAGGTCTCTGACCTCCTCCCTATAGGCTGTCTCATCGTTGACGGTGATCAGACCTACCACCATTGTGTCGGCTGAAAATGTAATGATGGTGTTGGAGTCATGCTTTGCCACGCAGTCATGGGTGAACAGGGAGTACAGGAGGGGACTGAGCACTCACCACAGAGGGGCACCCGTATTGAGGATCAGTGTGGCAGATGTGTTGTTGCCTACCCTTACCACCTGGGGGCGGCCCATCAGGAAGTCCAGGAACCAGTTGCACTTCATGGCTACAGACGTGATTGCTACGGGTCGGTAGTAATTTAGGCAGGTTACCTCGGTGCTGTTGGTCTGCTTGAAACATGAAGGTATTACAGATACGGCCAGGGACAGGTTGAAAATGTCAGAGAAGACACTTGCCAGTTGGTCAGCGCATGCTCGGCACACATGCTGGTAATCCGTCTGGCCCTGAGGCCTTCTGAATGTTGACCTGTTTAAAGGTCTTACTCGCATCGGCTACGGCAAGTGTGATTACCCAGTCGTCCGGAACAGCTAGTGCTCTAATGCATGCTTCAGTGTTGCTTGCCTCATAGCGCGCACAGAAGTAATTTAGCTTGTCTGGTAGGCTTGTGTCACTGGGCAGATCACGGCTGCTTTGTTGTCCGTAATAGTTTGCAAGCCCTGCCACATCCGAAGAGCATCGGAGCCGGTGAAGTAGGATTAAATCTTAGTCCTGTATTTACGCTTTGCCTGTTTGATGGTTCATCTGAGGGCATAGCGGGATTTCTTATAAGCGTCCGGGTTTGAGTCCCGCTCATTGAAAGCTGCAGCTCTACCCTTTAGCTCAGTGCAGATGTTGCCTGTAATCCATGGCTTCTGGTTGGGGAATTTACTTACGGTTACTGTTGGGACAACGTCATCGATGAAGCCGGTGTCTGATGTGGTATACTCCTCAATGCCATTGGATGAGTCCCGGAACATATTCCAGTCTGTGCTAGCAAAACGGTCCTGTAGCTTAGTATCTGGGTCATCTGACCACTTCCATATTGAGCGAGTCACTGGTACTTCCTGCTTTAGTTTTTGCTTGTAAGCAGGAATCAGGAGGATATAATCATGGTCAGATTTGCCAAATGGAGGGTGAGGGAGAGCTTTGTACGCGTCTCTGTGTGTGGAGTAAAGGTGGTCTAGAGTTTTTTCTCCTCTTGTTGCACATGTAAAAATGCTGGTAGAAGTGAGGTAAAACGGATGTAAGTTTCCCTGCATTAAAGTCCACGGCCACTAAGAGTGCTGCCTCTGGATGACCATTTTTTTGTTTGCTTATGGCTTTATACAGCTCGTTAAGTGCAGTCTTAGTGCCAGCATCAGTTTGTGGTGATAAATAGACAATTATGTAAATAGTAAATATTGTGGTCTACAGCTTATCATGAGATACTCTACCTCAGGCGAGCAAAACGTTGAGACTTCCTTAATATTTGATTTCGCGCAGCAGCTGTTACTGACAAATAGACACAGACCGCCACCCATTGTCTTACCGGAGACAGATGTTCTGTCTTGCCGACGCACGGAAAAACCAGCCAACTGTATATTATCCATGTCGTCGTTCAGCCACGGCTCGACAGTTTTTAATGTCCTGTTGGTAGGATAGTCTTGAATGGAGCTCATCCAGTTTATTCTCCAACGATTGCACGTTGGCCAGTAGGACGGACGGTAGAGGTGGGTTACCCACTCGCCGACAAATGCAGATGATAAATGTGGTGAAAAGGAGCTTGGAGTGCGTCTTTCACATCCTTTAGAATGTATTAAAAAAATAAATATTTAGCAGACACTCTTATCCAGAGTGACTTACTGTAGTGAGTGCATACATTTTCATACTGGTCCCTTGTGGGACTCGAACCCTGGCATTGCAAATGCCATGCTCTACCAAGTGAGCCACACGGGACTATGTGAACAGTTTAATAGCTTGAATGAAAGATTTTAAAGGTTGATATTTCATGATATTTTATGAAAGATAGATGTATTATTTAGGCAAGAAGAGTTGTTTATTGCTGTAAGCGTCGGTAGCATGACTTTCATGACACAGTGCAGATTGGTCTTTCTGAAGATATTAACTGTCACTGATGTAAGATTGAAAGGGTTCAGTCTCTTTTTTTCCCACTGTTGACTGACTCGGACACTTCTTTGATTTTAAAGCCCTGACTCAACTGTAGCTATGAATAATTCAACCAACGCCAGGGTTGTGGGTTCAATTCCCACAGGGGACCAGTATGAAAAAGAATGAAAATGTATGCACTCACTCTGGTTAAGAGCGTCTGCTAAATGATTTAAATGTATAATGAGGGAGACTCACCCACAGCATAAACGATTAACACGGACTGTGGTTCCATTGATGGCCACTGGGTGGCATTGTTGCTATTTCACTCAGGTTCACTGCTGTGTCACTAAGCGAGGTTAGAGCTGGGTAGAAACAGAGGTTTCACAATCCAGAGCTTTTGCATTGCAGCTCAGATCATGATCGCGTGAACTTGTGGGTTTGATCAACCAATCCCAGAGGAATCGCCTAGAGTGAATGTCATGTAATATACAGTACAGTGCATAGAATATCCTCTAGCTTTGAATCTGTAATCGCTAGGTCCTCCACCTGCGCTTGTCTCACGCTATCACTCTCTCTCTCACTCTTCTACTCGTGCTCTTTTATGTTCTCGCTCTCTGACACCTTTTCCCCTCTCATTTTCTCTCTCTTCCCCTCTCTCATTCTCCTCCTCATTCTCTCTCCCTCTCTCTCTCTGTCGCTCTCTCACATACACACACACCCCTCCCCGTTTGTAACCTTCGTAATAGGGCAGCCTTTTCACAATAATGGGCCTGCTTTGTTGATACTACTGTATGTGTAATGTGTCATTTGTTCAGTAGAAATAATTGTCTGCAATGACGCAAAACAATAACCAGGTTTCCATGCAACCTTTTTATGCAAGTCAAGCACTGTACATGAGCTAACTCTGCAAATGGCACTGCTGGGTGATTTGAAAAGTTATAGTCAATCAATCAATCCATCAATAATATAACAATACTCTTAGCAAAAATGTTTTCTTTCATTTACAATCTGTAGAAACTATGAGAATAGAAAGGTTCAGAACTTTTGTGAAACAGCACAGTGGAAAAATATAAACTGGATGGTCTTCAGAGATAGTTGGGAGGGGTTGAGGGTAGCTGAAGGCTGGGACTAAAAACAAACAAAAGATAACTAATGTAAAATATACTGTCCGTAATATGTATATAGTTATGTATAAGCTGGAAGTAGAAGCCTAAGTATTGTTGTCCGTTAGTTTACTCCAATTAGGGGAGGGGTGGTAGGGTTAGGGGAAAATAATAGGAAATATGTAAATATTTATTTATATATATTTAAAATAATATATATACTAAACAAAAATATAAACGCAACATGTAAAGTATTGGTCCCATGTTTCATGAACTGAAATAAAATATCCCAGAAATGTTCCATATGCACAAAAAGCTTATTTCGCAGAAATGTTGTGCGCAAATTTGTTTACATCCCTGTTAGTGAGCATTTCTCCTTTGCCAAGATAAACCATCCACCTGACAGGTGTGGCATATCAAGAAGCTGATTAAGCAGCATGATCATTACACAGGTGCAGCTTCTGCTGGGGACAATAAAAGGCCACTCTAAAATGTGCAGTTTTGTCACACAACACAATGCCACAGATGTCTCAAATTTTGAGGGAGCATGTAGTTGGCATGCTGACTGCAGGAATGTCCACCAGAGCTGTTGCCAGCTAATTGAATGTTCATTTCTCTACTATAAGCCGCCTCCAATGTTGTTTTAGAGAATTTGGCAGTACGTCCAACCGGCCTCACAACCGCAGACCACGTGTAACCACGCCAGCCCAGGACCTCTACATCCGGCTTCTTCACCTGCGGGATCATCTGAGACCAGCCACCCGGACAGTTTATGAAACTGTGGGTTTGCGCAACCGAATAATTTCTGCACAGACTGTCAGAAACCGTCTTAGGGAAGCTCATCTGCTTGCTCGTCATCCTCACCAGGGTCTTGACCTGAATGCAGTTCGGCATCGTAACCGACTTCAGTGGGCAAATGCTCACCTTCAATGGCCACCAGCACGTTAAAGAAGTGTGCTCTTCACGGATGAATCCAGGGTTCAACTGTACCAGGCAGATGGCAGACAGCTTGCATGGCGTCATGTGAGCAAGCGGTTTGCTGATGTCAACGTTGTGAACAGAGTGCCCCATGGTGGCGGTGGGGTTATGGTATGGGCAGGCATAAGCTACGGACAATGAACACAATTGCATTTTATCAATGGCAATTTCAATGCACAGCGATACCGTGATGAGATCCTGAGGCCCATTGTCACACCATTCATTTGCAGCCATCATTTACATTTTAGTCATTTAGCAGACGCTCTTATCCAGAGCGCCTTTACAGTTAGTGCATACATTTTTTTTTTTTTTCATACTAGCCCCCCGTGTGAAACGAACCCACAACCCTGGCGTTGCAAGCGCCATGCTCTACCAACTGAGCTACAGGGGACTACATAACGAGAGACCTCAGAGAACATGGTAGCAACACCACATGACAACATGGTAGCAACACAAAACATGGTACAAACATTGGGCACAGACAACTGCACAAAGGGCAAGAAGGTAGAGACTATACATAATGCGAAGCAGTCACAACTGTCAGTAAGCGTGTCCATGATTGAGTCTTTGAATGAAGAGGAGATAAAACTGTCCAGTTTGAGTGTTTGTTGCAGCGCGTTCCAGTCACTTGCTGCAGCGAACTGAAACGAGGAGCGACCCAGGGATGTGTGCTTTGGAGCCCTATAACAGAATGTGACTGGCAGAACAGGTGTTGTATGTGGAGGTTGAGGGCTGCAGAATAATCTCAGAGGGAGGGTTTTATAAATAAAGCGTCAACAGAGGAGTATAGTGTGCAGTGATGTGTTCTATAAGGAGCACGGTTGGCAAATCCGATGGCCGAATGGGAAAGAACATCTAGCCGCTCGAGAGCACAGTTACATTTTAGCAGACGCTCTTATCGAGAGCAACTTTACAGTTAGTGCATATATATATATTTTTTTTCATACTGGCCCCCCGTGGGAATAGACCCCACAACCCTGGCGTTTCAAGCACCATGATCTACCAACTGAGCTACACAGGGACGATCTTACCTGCCGATCTATAAATTACGTACAGTGGGGAGAACAAGTATTTGATACACTGCCGATTTTGCAGGTTTTCCTACTTACAAAGCATGTAGAGGTCATAGGTACACTTCAACTGTGAGAGACGGAATCTAAAACAAAAATCCAGAAAATCACATTGTGTGATTAGTAAGTAATTAATTTGCATTTTATTGCATGACATAAGTATTTGATACATCAGAAAAGCAGAACTTAATATTTGGTACAGAAACCTTTGTTTGCAATTACAGAGATCATACGTTTCCTGTAGGTCTTGACCAGGTTTGCACACACTGCAGCAGGGATTTTGGCCCACTCCTCCATACAGACCTTCTCCAGATCCTTCAGGTTTCGGGGCTGTCGCTGGGCAATACAGACTTTCAGCTCCCTCCAAAGATTTTCTATTGGGTTCAGGTCTGGAGACTGCCTAGGCCACTCCAGGACCTTGAGATGCTTCTGATGGAGCCACTCCTTAGTTGCCCTGGCTGTGTGTTTTGGGTCGTTGTCATGCTGGAAGACCCAGCCACGACCCATCTTCAATGCTCTTACTGAGGGAAGGAGGTTGTTGGTCAAGATCTCACGACATTCGCTGGCTTGAGCAGGGGGACCTTGCGTGCGCTGCAGGATTTTAATCCATGACAGCGTAGTGTGTTACTAATGGTTTTCTTTGAGACTGTGGTCCCAGCTCTCTTCAGGTCATTGACCAGGTCCTGCCGTGTAGTTCTGGGCTGATCCCTCACCTTCCTCATGATCATTGATGGCCCACGAGGTGAGATCTTGCATGGAGCCCCAGACCGAGGGTGATTGACCGTCATCTTGAACTTCTTCCATTTTCTAATAATTGCGCCAACAGTTGTTGCCTTCTCACCAAGCTGCTTGTCTATTGTCCTGTAGCCCATCCCAGCCTTGTGCAGGTCTACAATTTTATCCCTGATGTCCTTACACAGCTCTCTGGTCTTGGCCATTGTGGAGAGGTTGGAGTCTGTTTGATTGAGTGTGTGGACAGGTGTCTTTTATACAGGTAACGAGTTCAAACAGGTGCAGTTAATACAGGTAATGAGTGGAGAACAGGAGGGCTTCTTAAAGAAAAACTAACAGGTCTGTGAGAGCCGGAATACTTAAAAATCATACAATGTGATGCACCTATGATAAAAATTACAGACCTCTACATGCTTTGTAAGTAGGAAAACCTGCAAAATCGGCAGTGTATCAAGTACTTGTTCTTCCCACTGTAGCTGTAATCTAGCATGGGTAGGATGGTGATCTGAATCTGGGTTAGTTTGGCAGTTTGGGTGAAAGAGGAGCGAATACGATAGAGGAAACCAAGTCTAGATTTAACCTTAGCCTGCAGCTTTGATATGTGCAAAGAGAAGGACAGTGTACCATCTAGCCATACTCCCAAGTACTTGTATGAGGTGACTAACTCAAGCTCTAAACCCTCAGAGGTGGGCTCCCGAGTGGCGCAGCGGTCTAAGGCACTGCATTTGTGCTAGAGGCATCACTACAGACCCTGGTTCAATTCCAGGCTGTATCACAATCTGGCTGTGATTGGGAGTCCCATCTCATGTTTCAGCATGATAATGCACAGCCCCATGTTGCAAGGATCTGTACACAGAGAGTAGTGCGTACGGCCCAGTACATCACTGGGGCCAAGCTTCCTGCCATCCAGGACCTCTATACCAGGCGGTGTCAGAGGAAGGCCCTCAAAATTGTCAAAAAACTCCAGCCACCCTAGTCATAGACTGTTCTCTCTGCTACCGCACGGCAAGCGGTACCGGAGTGCCAAGTCTAGGTCCAAAAGACTTCTCAACAGCTTCTGCCATAAGACTCCTGAACAGCTAACTATTTGCACTGCCCCCCCACCCCATTCTTTTTACGCTGCTGCTACTCTGTTAATTATTTATGCATAGTCACTTTAACTCTACCCACATGTACATATTACTTCAACTACCTCAACTAGCCGGTGCCCTCGCACATTGACTCTGCACCGGTACCCCCCTGTATATATAGCCTCCCTACTGTTATTTTATTTGACTTCTGCTCTTTTTTTTCTCAACACTTTTTTTGTTGTTGTTTTATTTTTACTTTTTTTGTTAAAAATAAATGCACTGTTGGTTAAGGGCTGTAAGTAAGCATTTCACTGTAATGTCTGCACCTGTTGTATTTGGCGCATGTGACCAATACAATTTGATTTGATTTGATTTACACAATTCCTGAAAGTTGAAAATGTCCCATTTGTATGACAGCGTGTTCCAGTTCCTGCCAATATCCAGCAACTTTGCACAGCGATTGAAGGGGAGTGGGACAACATTCACAACAGCCTGATCAACTCTACGCCAAGGAGATGTGTTGCGTTGCATGAGGCAAATGGTGGTCACACCAGATACTGACTGGTTTTCTGATCCACGCCTCTACTTTTTCTTTAAAGGAATCTGTGACCATTCCCAGTCATGTGAAATCTATAGATTAGGGCCTAATGAATTTATTTCAATTTACTGATTTCCTTATATGAACTGTAACTCTTTGAAATTGTTTCGGTAAACTTTCCAAATGCCCAAAAAAAATACACTAGATAAGGTGGGATCTTTTTGTGTTGGTAAAATTAATTCTGGGAAAAATGTCGGTGGAAACGCTTTAATGCTCAAATATTGATATAATAACCATCATATCGAAGTAAACTTGGAGTCATGTGATGATGTGTGGTCCTCCCACTACTACGACTTGTAGGGAAAACATGTTTGTTAGGCTACAGATGAAATAAGTTATGATGAACTTCACAGGGTAGTGAAAGTGCAAGGTGATGAGCTTGATGCTCCTTTCCAATAGATATCAAGGGTCTTATTCTGGTGACATGGTCATCGATGCTATGCTGCCATTTGACAAATACAAATAATCTCGCTCTTTTATCCATAATAATCTCCTCATGTAGACTATATCTGTGCACTGTTGGTTATAGCGCACCTGCCATTACCGGAGTGGGCAAACTCACTATATAACAAAACCATTTTTGTGAGAAAACCATCAGTAGAGTTGAAAATGCGAAGGTATTTTTTATTTTAGAATGTTCGCATGATTTTAGAATATTCGCATGAATATCTGTCGCCAATTGGATGGAAACCCTACATGAGATTTATCAATAATTCTAGTTTGTTTACATTTGATATTTTGCACGTGCGTAGTTGGATGAATCTCAATTATTTGTGGGTGGCATGTGGAACAAGTGTAGATACTGTAAATCATTTTGAATATGTTGGTAGTGGTGATTTATGTATTCAAATAAGTAAAATACAACATGCAACCCATTCATGGATCCATTCCCTCTTCAGTCAGAAAAAGCTAAAAGTATATTAGCAGTGGGTGGCAGACAGTGAGTAATAAAACATATTGTGTTATCTGATCCTGTGAATGAATGTTCTTCTCAAAACCTCTGGGAAGAGATGAGCCTCTTCATCAACCTTGAAAGCATGTTTTCACATTTCTATTCCTTTTCATTCACAGCTAATAAAATGACACATCAGAAGAGGGAGCCTGAAATGTGTCTGTGAACAATGAAAACATCAGGGAGAGACAGTCAGACATTATTCTTCAATCATCTGTCATAACATTTACGTCATTTAGCAGGCTATCTGCCGCCCTAAAATACAGAACACACAGAGCTCTCAAAGACTGGGATGGAGAGAAAGGGAGGGAGAGAAGAAAATGAATATTTTCAATTTATTTTCTTCTTCAGGTTTTACCCTTCCTGTCAGTGGAACAAATCAAATCAAATTCTATTTGTCACATGCGCCGAATACAACAGGTGTAGACCTTAAAGTGAAATTCTTACTTACAAGCCCTTAACCAACAATGCAGTTTTAAGAAAGAATACCAAAGGAAATCACAAAAAAATACAATATAAAATAATACGAAATAAAAGTAACAAATAATTAAAGAGCAGCAGTAAAAATAACAAAAGCGAGGCTATATACAGGGGTACCGAGCTCCTGAGTGGCGCAGTGGTCTAAGGCACTGCATCGCAGTGCTAACTGTGCCACTAGAGATCCTGGTTCGAATCCAGGCTCTGTCGCAGCCGGCCGCGACCGGGAGACTCATGGGCGGCGCACAAGTCGTCCAGGGTAGGGGAGGGAATGGCCGGCAGGGATGTAGCTCAGTTGATAGAGCATGGCGTTTGCAACGCCAGGGTTGTGGGTTCGTTTCCCATGGGGGACCAGTATAAAAAATAAAATAAAAAATAAAAAATAAAAAAAAAATATGTGTATTCACTAACTGTAAGTCGCTCTGGATAAGAGCGTCTGCTAAATGACAAAAAATGTAAAAATGTAAATGTACCGGTACCGAGTCAATGTGCGGGGGCACCGGTTAGTCGAGGTAACTGGGGTAATATGTACATGTAGGTAGAGTTATTAAAGTGACTATGCATATGATAATAAACAGAGAGTAGCAGCAGCGTAAAAGAGGTGTGGGGGGGCAATGCAAATTGTCTGGGTAGCCATTTGATTAGATGTTCAGGAGCCTTATGGTTTGGGGGTAGAAGCTGTTTAGAAGCCTCTTGGACCTAGACGTGGCGCTCCAGTACCACTTGCCGTGTGGTAGCAGAGAGAACAGTCTATGACTAGGGTGGCTGGAGTCTTTGACATTTTTTAGGGCCTTCCTCTGACACCGCCTGGTATAAAGGTCCTGGATGGCAGGAAGCTTGTCCCCAGTGATGTACTGGGCCGTACGCACTACCCTCTGTAGTGCCTTGCGGTCGGAGGCCGAGCAGTTGTCATACCAGGCAGTGATGCAACCAGTCAGGATGCTCTCGATAGTGCAGCTGTAGAACCTTTTGAGGATCTGAAGACCCATGCCAAATCTTTACAGTCTCCTTAGGGGGAAGAGGTTTTGTCGTGCCCTCTTCACGACTGTCTTGGTGTGCTTGGACCATGTTAGTTTGTTGGTGATGTGGACACCAAGGAACTTGAAGCTCTCAACCTGCTCCACTACAGCCCCGTCGATGAGAATGGGGGAGTACTTGGTCCTCTTCTTTTACCTGTAGTCCACAATCATCTCCTTTGTCTTGATCATGTTGAGGGAGAGGTTGTTGTCCTGGCACCACACTGCCAGGTCTCTGACCTCCCTATAGGCTGTCTCGTCGTTATCAGTGATCAGGTCTACCACTGTTGTGTCGTCGGCAAACTTAATGATGGTGTTGGAGTCATGCCTGGCCATGCAGTCATGAGTGAACAGGGAGTACAGGAGGGGACAGAGCACGCACCCCTGAGGGGACCCCGTGTTGAGGATCAGCGTGGTGGATGTGTTGTAAACCTACCCTTACCACCTAGAGGTGGCCCATCAGGAAGTCCAGGATCCAGTTTCAGAGGGAGGTGTTTAGTCCCAGGGTCCTTAGCTTAGTGATGAGCTTTGAGGGCACTATGGTGTTGAACGCTGAGCTGTGGAAGCTCTACTGCTTGGGGAGAAGAGACACAAGAGAAGAGCACACTCACATCCACAGATAAGCATTGACTCCTCACCTCACCTCTCATCTCTCTCTCTCTCGTGCTCTGTTATTCTCTCTCTTTCTGCCTTTCATACTCTCTCTCTCTCTCTCTCTCTCTCTCTCGCTCTCTCTCTCTCTCTCTCTCTCTCTCTCTCTCTCTCTCTCTCTCTCTCTCTCTCAGGAACATTATAATTATTTGTGAGTGTCTATCTTCACCTAGTCTTAGGCCTAGATTCATTCAGATCCAAGCGTTAGCCATCAGAGTGAGAAATTGTAAGCTATATAGAAATAATAATGAGGATTTCTATCATCCTAATCGATGTGTAGATTTCATCTCACATTCCAGTGTTCGAACTTGTAAACAAGGCTGCATAGGATTTCTGTTAATGTGACTCCATGGCCAATGGCAATGTCCGCTTTAGGTATGATGCCGGGAGCCACTTGTGATTTGACAGCTCTAACACAGTTCCACCTCCAACACCGCCAAAACAAACGGTATGCGGCTGTCGGCTAAAGCGGATCTGATTGAATAGATCCCTTAGCTCCAGTTGTTCGATAGTTCACTGGTTATAGAGGATAGGGTTCAATCCCCGCAGGTATCACATACAAAAAATTGATGCCCTCACTGTACTAAGTAGCTTTGGCTAACGGTGTCTGGCAAGAGGCAGTGTAAGGGAATTATACAGTTGGTAAGTAGGTAGCTATGGATGTGCTCTATCATTTAGTGTATGAATACCTGGAAGACAATCTGAAATTTGACCATTTTAATATGTTCCCCCCGAATTTGTATTTTTTCTTATAAAAGCCAATAATATAAATTAAAACAATAACAAAGTGGTTACCCCGTCTCTGTTTTGTTAAAAAGCTGAGGGATGGGCTTGAAGTAATGTAACCACCCTCAAATTCATACACAGAGCTATGGATGCAAGCACTGACCATCCATGATATAAACAATTCTACAGTCTTTGTTTACATTTACAATGTTTACAAATATTGGACTAAAACACACTTAGGGCTCTATTCAATCCATTTTGCTGAAGTATTACAGATTTCGCACTAGAAATGTAAATGTAATTTCCGATTGAGACGACATATGCAGCGTTTACTGTGAATGCCGTCTCCGCCAACATGGAAACATTGCCTTTACACACGTTAGCACTGAATTTCTGCGATATGGATTGAATAGAGAGCCCTATTATTTTGGGCTATGATAGGGTGTGACAGTTGAACTAAGCTCATGAGGCATTTATACATTTTATTCTTCAAGAATCAATGGGTATACTGTATAGTTAAAAATGTATGTAACAACTGCAGATTGCCCCTTTAATGTTATCTTACTGTTGGTAAAATAAGCAGGGACAGGACAGTAATCTTAAACTCTGACTTTTTCTCTGTCCTCTACTTCAAGAAAAAGAGAGAATATTACATAGAGATTGGAATCTCCCTCTTCTGCTGTGTCGTGTCTCTGACCGTGGTAGTGTGATCAATAAAAATGACCTCAGCGCGGCAGGGTCCTTGAGCTGGCCGCTCACACACACACACACACACACACACACACACACACACACACACACACACACACACACACACACACACACACACACACACACACACACACACACACACACAAAGCTCCATCTTCTTTTCCTCTCTCTCCTCCATATCTCCCTGAAGACAGCCTGTTTTTCCTCTGTCGCCGGCCACTTCATCCTCCTCTCCTCCAATCAGATTGCAGCTGCTCTGTGTCGTGGCCATCCATTGTTCTGTGTCCCCTAGTAGCAAGGACAGCCAGCCAGAGGGTGTGTGAGCAGGGACATGGTGTGTATGTTTTTGTGTGTGTTTGTGTGTGTTGGTGTGTGTACTGTACAGTGAGGGGAAAAAGTATTTGATCCCCTGCTGATTTTGTACGTTTGCCCACTGACAAAGAAATGATCAGTCTATAATTTTAATGGTAGGTTTATCTGAACAGTGAGAGACAGAATAACAAAAAAAAATTCCAGAAAAACGCAAGTCAAAGATGTTATAAATTGATTTGCATTTTAATGAGGGAAATACGTATTTGACCCCTCTGCAAAACATGACTTAGTACTTGGTGGCAAAACCCTTGTTGGCAATCACAGAGGTCAGGCGTATCTTGTAGTTGGCCACAAGGTTTGCACACATCTCAGGAGGGATTTTGTCCCACTCCTCTTTGCAGATCTTCTCCAAGTCATTAAGGTTTTGAGGCTGACGTTTGGCAACTCCACAGATTTTCTATGTGATTAATGTGCTTCTTCTTGAGACACGCTGGAATACCCATCCACGACCCATTTTCAATGCCCTGGCTTCTCACCCAAGATTTGACGGTACATGGCCCGGTCCATCGTCCCTTTGATGCGGTGAAGTTGTCCTGTCCCCTTAGCAGAAAAACACCCCCAAAGCATAATGTTTCCACCTCCATGTTTGACGGTGGGGATGGTGTTCTTGGGGTCATAGGCACTATTCTTCCTCCTCCAAACACGGCGAGTTGAGTTGATGCAAAAGAGCTCCATTTTGGTCTCATATGACCACAACACTTTCACCCAGTTCTCCTCTGAATCATTCAGATGTTCATTGGCAAACTTCAGACGGGCCTGTATATGTGCTTTCTTGAGCAGGGGGACCTTGCGGGCGCTGCAGGATTTCAGGTCCTTCACGGCGTAGTGTGTTACCAATTGTTTTCTTGGTGAAAATGGTCCCAGCTGCCTTGAGATCATTGACAAGATCCTCCCGTATAGTTCTGGGCTGATTCCTCACCGTTTTCATGATCATTACAACTCCACGAGGTGAGATCTTGCATGGAGCCCCAGGCCGAGGGAGATTGACAGTTCTTTTGTGTTTCTTCCATTTGCGAATAATCGCACTAACTGTTGTCACCTTCTCACCAAGCTGCTTGGCGATGTAGCCCATTCCAGCCTTGTGTAGGTCTACAATCTTGTCCCTGACATCCTTGGAGAGCTCTTTGTTCTTGGCCATGGTGGAGAGTTTGGAATCAGATTGATTGATTGCTTCTGTGGACAGGTTTCTATTATACAGGTAATACACTGAGATTAGGAGCACTCCCTTTAAGAGTGTGCTCCTAATCTCAGCTCGTTACCTGTATAAAAAACACCTGGGAACCAGAAATCTTTCTGATTGAGAGGGGATCAAATACTTATTTCCCTCATTAAAATGCAAATCAATTTATAACATTTTTGACATGCGTTTTTCTTGATTTTTTTGTTGTTATTCTGTCTCTCACTGTTCAAATAAACCTACCATTAAAATTATAGACTGATCATTTTTCTTTGTCAGTGGGCAAACGTACAAAATCAGCATGGGATCAAATACTTTTTTCCCTCACTGTATGTGTTGAAGATTAGAGACGTTTCTGGAGTGTAACAGACCTGTCAGGGCAGAAACCCTGATCAACACTCAACCGTCATCTCCTCTCTCTTTCTAGGCCTCTTCTGGGTTCTGCTGATATTTGATGAGAGTCAGTTCAGCTCCTCTCTAGGCCTCAGACCTGGGTTCATATACTTTATTTGTGCTTGGAGCTTGCCTGTTGCAATGAAACAAATAGAAAAGCCCCAAAAGTGCAAACCCCACCCACCTGGAAATGTATCAGTAGTACAAATAGTATTTGAACCCAGGTCTGCTCCTGTCTCCAGGCCTTGTTCAGCTGATGCATACCGCTGATATGACAGATGGCAAGCCAATGTGAATCCAAAAGGGTGCCAAAAGGGAGAAAGTCTTCTGCTTGCTTTTCCATCTGTCTCTGTTCACTCAGGTGCTCATACCAATAACATTGAGCCCTGTAAACAAACTATAAGGTGAACAGTTGACATGATGTGACTTGTCACTGCCATTGACCGATAGGAACTTTGAGGGGACATTGTGAGGTTTAGAATGTATTTTGTGTCTAAGATGTGATGTCCTGGCCTCTGATTATTTTGAGCTCTACTGGAGCCTACACCAGGCCTACTCATGTTCGTTTTCCCCAGTGTACTTCAAGTGGAATGAAGAATGTGTCTGTACTAATTTTAGGTGTCAGTACTCATTTAGATTTTACAGACCATTCAATAAGTTATTCAAGCAGTAGAAAATTGCTCAAATTATTATCTACAAATAATCTACAGGACACTTAGAGATTACTATTCCCAACTACAAAATACTATTCCTTTTTCTCTCAAAGTAAGAAAACTATTCAAAAAAAAAATATTTAAAAAAATGCACTCAACAATTTACTGGGTTAAGAACTCCATGACATACTGATATCGGATCATTCTCTGGTATCATGCTGAATTACACCAATATAAAATACACTTAGCCACAGAATATGGAGAATGAACAGAGCGCATCTTCAAGACCCGAAATTCATTAAATACGTAAATGATTTTTTTTTAACCTTTACCATTACAAATGTAGACATAGCGGATAGAGAAAAGCCGACTCCCAATATAATTTGGGATGCCTTTAAGGCATACATTAGGGGAATGATAATGTCATACTCTAAAAAAAGTTACATCTGTGTTACTGATTTATTTTTCTTTAATCTAATTTCTGAACATAAGAAGGAATATGATATTTTACTTTTGAAGAGAGCCAACAACTACAGGTTAAACTCAAATAAACCATACTACTTAATGGAAAATAAACATGTTAAACATCTCGCAGCACTCACAAAATGAATACATGCCAAACCAGTTATAATCTTAAAAGATAAAGATACAGATGCGTTATTTAGAAACAACAACGCAATTGATGACAATTTTAAGAGTTATGTAAATATATAAATCACAATTAAACAACAGCGGGACTGATCCTACAGACTTCTTAGACTCAACAACCATGAAGCAATTATCAGCAAACAAGAAATTATAACTAAAAACAGATATCACCGAAAAATAAATATTAGACACTGTTAAAATATTCACACGGAGAAAAGCAGCAGGAATGGACGGCTTTCCCATAGAATTCTATTTAACATTTTGGGACAAAGTAGCGACCCTATTTACACAAATGACAACACACTTCATGCAATTCAGTGCTTCCTAGTTCCATCAAACAGTTATTTCAGTAATATTAAAACCAGGAAAATCTGCTGATTACAGACCCATAAGTTTAAAGCTGCAATATGTACCTTTTTGGGCGACCCTATCAAATTCACAAAGAAATGTGATTTATAGATCTGTCACTCTCATTGAAAGCAAGTCTAAGAAGCAATATACTGTATATGTTCTATGTGCGCTAATTCTATGCTTCTCGTTCTTAAGTTTCGTTTTTACGTCTTTTACTTTGGTTTCGTACACCATCTTCAAACAGCTGAAAATACAATTTTTTTTGGTTATGGAAAATATTTTTCACAGCGGTTCAGATGGTACAATGATTATCTAAACTATAACTGGTTGTTTTGTCACATAAACTGAAATTAGGCTAACTATTAGAATGTTACTAACCAGGAAATGGTAGAGCGAATTCTGCATAGTGCACCTTTAAATTGTGACAATTAAATTATAACAAAGCTCATAAGCAATTGAATGGCAAAGGTTTTACTAGACTTGATACATATCAGTCAAACAGGGTTTATTAAAAATAGACACTTACAAACTAATTCAATATGGAGGACGTTTCAGTTTAATATGCAAAAAAACTAGATATGTGACCGACCACCTCAATTCAGTCTTATGTTGCTTGTGTTGAAATTTACATTGGATAAAAGTAGAGACTCAGAGCTACAAAATGATATATTATACACTGCAGTTGAGGAACAATGGGAAAGTAATTCTGCTTTGAAAGATGATAAAAATACACTATCTAGTCTTTGGCCTACAGTCTATCCTAATCTGACTTTGGTGCAGGTTATGTTGTTCTTCACATTTCCATCTCTGGTGAACACACACTATATCAAATAAAATCTAAGTTTATTTGTCACTTGCACATAATACAGAAGGTGTAAACGGTACAGTGAAATGGTTACTTGCATAGTAGCAATATCAAAAATAGATACAAATATTTTATAAATATGTTATAATTATTATATGATGCCTACCCAGACACACTTGTCTAAATTGATGGGTAATGTGAAAGAAATGCTATAGCCACCCCCCAGCCACATCTAGCTAAGTAGATGGGTCACTATTGTCTAGACATGTACACATGTTCATGAAACATAATAGATGGCCGTAATCATCCCCAGACACACCTGGCTAACTTGATGGGTCATGTAATCATCTGGCGAAGTGGAGTCTTTTGTTTAGACATGTAGCTAGCTAGTTAAACAATGAACCCAACCCATACTACTAGTAATGCAAATGGATTGTCATAGCTAGCCACTATGCATGAAATGCTGTAGTATGAATCTGCAGGTAGCTAAAGCTAACCAACTACGTTCAATGTTAGCTAGCTAGTAACATTAGGCTATAACTAGCAATGCAAATGACTTTCTGAGATACTAATAATATTACAACGTAATGTTAGCTAGCGAGCCATCAACCTAACGTTCGCTAGCTAGCTAACAATACGCTTTAACTTGCAATGAAAATGACTTTCTGACAAAATTTGAAACGTATAATATCTGAAAATGTAGCTAGACTCTTATCTGTATACATGAATGAACGCTTCACAACAGACTGGATCCCCTTTAGCTAACTAAGACGTCCTGTGTCGTTTCCGTTTTGTTTGTACAGCTTGTTTGGCCCTCGTAGTGTCAAGTCACTCCTGTTCACACTGACTATGTGCAGAAAGTAGTCCATCACAGCTTTTTACCATTGATCTTTGTCGATACCGCTTGCTAAATTC